ACTACAAATTTACAATTAAAATTTTCGATTAAACAACTATTTTTTTTTGCTTAATTGATCCTCCTTTCAATTCAAAAATTCAAAAATTCAAGTATTAAATGTGTTTTTTTATTTTCTAACTTCTGAAAGTTTTCTTCTAATCGTTTTCTGTAGTTTTCTCATAATAGCAAAATCTCAGCGTCTCTCAGTCTACCAACTTTTTCTCATTTAATTTTTTCGACTTAACCTTTCTCTATTTATCCGTTTGAGTTATTTTGTGAGCCGATTTTGATCAATTTTCTTTGATCCAAGTACTCAAAGCAGTAATTCTTCAAAAAAAAAAAATTAAAATCCCTTTCGATTTAGAACTTTGATGTTCAAATTTTAAAAAAATCGTTTGTTTATATATTGAAGATCGGCAAATTTTCGCAAAATTTCCAAAAAACTAATGAATTTTTCGTTTTGAAAGCAAAGCTCTTTTATTTAAAGTTTTTAAATTCATATTTCTTCGCTTTGAATTTTAAAAAACAAAAACAAAAGAGTGTTAAGATTAGAGTGCGTTCCTCGCGAGTAAATAATTACTCGAGTAAAATCTTCATGAGTAATTTTTACTCGATTAATCGACGTTTTTCATCGAGCAACTACGAGTAAGCCTCTTTACACATCGAATAAATTGAATATCTTTAAATGTGAAGGGAATTTGCCACCAAATCAGTTAAACGGTTGAATATCTTTAAAAAGAGTCTTATATGGGGGTGGGACAAATGCGACCTTTTTTTTTTGCGCACCTGGACATTTGCGCACCTTTTTTTTTGCTGGAAAAGGCCTTAGGAAAGGTCGTAGAGCTTCAAAAATGTTTGCATAGAAGGGAATCGTATGCGTAGATTCCGAATTTTGACAAATCAGACCTCGCTGACACGTCAAATTTGGGCTAAAAGGCAAAAACTACGGAAAACTTAACGTTTCCGTAGTTTTTGCCATTTTAGCCCAAATTTGACGTGTCAGTGAGGTCTGATTTGTCGAAATTCGGAATCTACGCATACGATTCCCTTACGTGGAAATATTTTCGAAGCTCTACGGCCTTGCCTAAGGCCTTTTCCAGCAAAAAAAAGGTCGCATTTGTCCCACCCCCGTCTTATATAACTCGTCGCTCGTGATTTTTTGCGCCAATTTTTTGCAATAACTTTCTCTAAAAGTAGGGTAATTTTTCCTAATTGTGCGTTTTAAAAAAACGCATTACTCGTGTAGAAAAGACTCTAGTTAAGATGTCTGTGTCAAGGTCAATGGTGTTAATCTCTTGACTTTAAGAGTTGAACAATTGATGAAACAAAAAATAAAAACATTTCTGCACTTGATACAATATCCAGTTCTTTTAACATTCGATGAAGCTCTTTTCAAACAAATTCTTCTCGTCTTTGATCTCTCTTTTCCATTAGAGTGACCCTCTTTTCGATCTCTTTTGATTATCCTTTCCTTTTTTCTTTTCTATGAGTGTTACACCAGAATGATCTCCCCTCTTCACCTCTTTGCCTCTTCTTGATCTCAATCTTTTTGATCGAATGATCACCTCCTTCCGGTTGTTCGTTTTTCGACAAAAACTTAGCGATAAAGCAAAAAGACGAAACAATCTCGAAATGATTTCATGATTTTTGATGCTCTAAACAAAGCAATTCAGCACTTGCTATTTGGATTTTTAAAGTAATTTTTAAGTGTTTAGGCTCAGGATTTCTTGGATTTCTTGAGCTTTCTTGGGACTTAGATTTCTGTAAAGTAATTCTTAAGTTTAGCCCAAATACCTGGATATTTTGGACACTAGATATTTTGTACTATGCTTCAAGCTCTAACTTTTGATTCCAGATTTGCCATCCCCATTTTTCGTCCCACTTTTGCCCCACTTGCCCCACTTGACTTTTGACTTTAAACCTTCATTTGAATGACTGTTATTCACTTTTTCCTGTTACTATGTCTATTTTTCATCATTCTGCCTCTTTTTTTTGACTTTAAACCTTCATTTGAATGAATGTTATTCACTTTTTCACTTTTTCCTTTTACTATGTCTATTTTTCATCATTCTGTCTCTTTTTTTGTTCTAAAACGAGTGCCTCGATTGTAAAATGAGAGCTGAAAGCAAAAGATTTACAATCACTTTCCATTTTTGTTCATAAAATTGTATCGGTATTATTGAGAGGCAGAAAAGGGTAAAAAGCTCAATAATTGGGACATCAAAATTGTTGTTTTTTTTATGAAAAATCAATAGCATTATGTTTTCAAGTTATTTGATTAAAAATTCATATGAAAATTGACTTTTTTTTGGAGATCTTTGAGGTTTTTGGTTGTTTATGCTCTTGAAAATTTTAAAGACTAAAAATTTCTCGCCTTTTTGAAATTATTGATAACAAGTTTTCTCAGAAAAAAGAAAAATTTGTAGTTATCAAAGTTCAAAAATTCTTCAAAACTTCCCGCAGATTGTAAAAACAATAAAAATCTTCCATTTTCTTTTTCATTTCTCGATTTTGTCGCCATTTTTGGTCATTTTGTGAGCTTTTTCCACAAAAGACGGAGAATTTTTTGATATTGGGGAAAAATGAATCATTTTTTTTTGTGTGTCGTTCAAGACATTCACACCTTTGCAAAACTATCTGAGACGGAAAATCCAAAACTATAACACGTCAAAACTTTCAAAACACTTTTTTTTGGACTTTTATATATGTCGTAGCCGATTATGAATGAGTGGGTCTAGGAGCGTCCAACCATCAAGTATTTGGTATCATTCAACGCAGAATCATTGATAATTATGTTAAATTTTTAAAATTAGCAAGATTTGATGAAAAGAAAAAAAATTAAAGCAAAAAAACTGTTTGTTCAAGAGAAAACTTTGAAGCCCCATAATTTGTGTTATGAATTTCAGCCGATTATGAATGAATGGGTCTAGGAGCGTCCAACCATCAAGTATTTGGTATCATTCAACGCAGAATCATTAATAATTATATTGCATTTTTTAAATTAGAAAGATTTGATAAAAAGAAAAAAAAATTATGGGGCCTCAAAGTTTTCTCTTGAACAAACAGTTTTTTTGCTCTAATTTTTTTTCTTTTTATTCAATCTTTCTAATTTTAAAAATTTAACATAATTATTAATGATTCTGCGTTGAATGATACTAAATACTTGATGGTTGGACGCTCCTAGACCCACTCATTTATAATCGGCTACGTGGGTCCCGCCGATTTTGAATGAAACGTTGTAGCGCCGGCAATTTTTAACCTAAACTCACAAATTTGGTACCAATCGACGCAGAATTCAATTCACTACAAGATGATATAATATTGTCCTCATACATTAAAGGGTTGCTCTACTAGAAAGATTTGCCAAAAAATTTCATTCCGAATCGGCTACGACATACAGTGGCCCACAAATGTATTGTCCCATTGCCATCCAAAAGTTTCTTTCGTACGAAAATATATTTATATATAGATACTTTATTCATATTTATATATACTAGAAATTGTATGATTTGTATTTATATATAGATACTTTATTCATGACCTGAGATGCGCGCTAGATTTATGATTAATGAATTCATACGCATAACACGAAAAGGGCCGATAAAAAGCAACACAATAAAATAGATGTAATATATGTATATATCTATGCTACCCATATACAAAATGTATGTATATGGGTAGCATAGATAACGTCAAGGATCCACTAGAGCTTCAAGAAAAATCTAAGAACTATAACATGTCAAAGCCTTTAAAACACTTTTTTTTTGGACCTTTATCTAAATTTTTGAATCATATTTTGATTAGCTTTGATGAAAGCTTTCGGATGAATCATTTTCAAAGCAAATTTTTCATTTTCGAAGCTTATGACTCAGTTTTGCATTTCGCTAGACGATAAAAACAAAATTTTAGTATCAATCGATTTTCAATTGCTTAAAGTTTGATTTCTAAACTTTTCTTCGCTATTTTTTTTGTCAAATTTTCTTGCAAAGATAATTGTTACCCAGTAATTCGAAAAAGGCGTTTCTCTGTAGCGATTTGCTGCCTAAATATACTTTTTTTTTCGATCGACAGATGCAAATACGATTTTCCTTTTTGCTTTTTCAATATTTTGTTTCATTTTCTGAGACTTGACTGAAGTTTTTGACTTATTTTTGGGGTAGGCTAATTTCCGCAATTTTTTTTGCGCAACTGGGCCATTTGCGCAACTCGCCATAACTTTCTTCTAAGTGGACCAATCTTTATCATTTTGGTTTCATTTTGTAGATCTCAAAAAGTGTAACAAAATGACACCAAAATCATAAAGATTAGTCCACTTAGAAGAAAGTTATGGCGAGTTGCGCAAAAAAAAATTACGGAAATTAGCCTACCCCTTATTTTTATCTTTTGAGAGAATTGAGAGACAAAACTCAAGTTAAATCGTTCTTTTTCAGTTTTGCTCCTGTTTAAATAACAAAGTTCAACAGGATCTAGAATTTAAAACAAAAAAATAGCCAAATTTAAGGCAAAAATTCTTAATAGCAACCTTTTCAAACAATCGTGAAAACTTTTCATCCATTTACTCTGCCGCATTTCTCTTTACATGCTTTCTGAATTTGTTATCCTGTGAATTTATAGCTTTTGTTTATGATCTTCACGTAGATTTGATGAAAAACGAAAACATTGTGACATTCCATCCCAAACAGGTGCATTCATCGGTTTTCGGTGCTCGAAAAGCCATCCCCCTCCCATTTGCTGAATAAAATGAACATGTGGCGCGATCAATTTCGAACCCAATCCCCTTAAAATCCCCGCTTTCGATTTTGAAATCAAATGCGTGATTTGATTGTATTGAAAATATGTTATTTAGATTTATGCAACGGATTTTTGTTCTTTACATTACTTTCAGATTCATTTCTCTCACTTGGGAATTGAAAAGTTTAAGTTTTCATCGTTTTTATCTATTTTCAATATCATTTATGATTTATTTGATTTTTAAAGATTGAAATTTTTTCATCAATTACTTGTTTTACTTTTCAGATAATGAAAGATGATGACGAGGAACACGCAGAGACTCGATCAGCACCCGGTGATTTGAATGAGGAAGCGGCTGAGGCAAGAAGTCGAAGGGAAAGGTTTGTGGAAGAGATAAATCTAGATTTAGATTTTGAATTAGATTTGAAGGTACTTGTGGAGTATCCGGAGGGGGGGAGGTCTTTCAATATCCCGGGTGGTAAAATTTTAAGATCCGGAGTAAACTTTCAAAAACCAACCAAATGCGCAAAAATGTTTTTTTTTGTTAATATGGCTTTGCCGCTGTTTGCGTGTGGGAACTAAATTTTATAACTATACCAGCAACGAATAAACAAGATGCCCGAGTAATGCAAGAAAATAAACATAAACCAAACTTAATAATTAAATAAATTTGTGAAGTACCATAGTGACTATTTGTAACAGTGACAATGTACTTGTATTTTTACAATACTACTTGTAAAAACCTATCGAATTTACTTCTAGGCCAGGAGGCCAAATATTAACACATAAAACTACCCCAAAAAATGGTTTTGAAGAAAAAAAAGTGACCCGCCAACTAGGATAGTATCAACATTCCTAATAATGACATAAAAAATTTTTGTAGAAGTTACGTTTTTGATCGAGTATCACTTCGGATCACGTAATCAAGTAAAGACCTTGAAGAAATTGAATATCTTTACCTTTGAAGGGAATTTGCCACCAAATCACTTAAGCGGATGAGTCATCTTTAAAAGGGGTCGTATATAACGCATATAAAATTTTACCCCCCCCGATCTTAAAATTTTACCACCCCGGATATTGAAAGACCTCCCCGGATACTCCACAAGTACCGATTTGAATTTAAGAAATGAATCAACATTTACCTTTTTAGATATCAACGACACCAAAGAAATGCCCCTGGATTTACCTCCGGTCCTCCATGGCCCACTCACAAAAAGGAGCCCTGGCAGCGGGAGATTGAGGTGGGATTTGAAAAATATAAGAAAACTTAATGATAGAATAGCTTTAAATCTTACTCAAATTTATCCGTAAACTTTAGGTGAAACAAGAACGGTTAATAGAAAAGGAGATCCACGTGCTGGCTCAAGAATCTCAGTGTGGGCTCGGAAAATGGAGGTGATAGCTTTTACCAGAAATTTCATAGCAAGTTCTAGGCCAAAATGGATGCAACGATTCGCGACAAAGCATTGGATGTTATTATGGTTGTGTTGGTATTGCACAGTTCAAGGGTTAATAGTGAATGGATTGGTTCCCTCTTCGATTACTTCCATTGAGAGACGGTTCAAGCTCCCGACGAGTACGATTGGACGGATAATGCAGGTACAAGAATCTTTGAGTTGATTGTTTAAAGAGATTGTAAATTCTTATTTTTAGTTCTACGACTTTGGCTACGTGCTTTTTTGTATCCCGGTTTCGTATTTTGGTGGTCGACACTCGAAGCCAGCCGTTCTCGCGTGTGGACTGATGCTGATGGCTTTGGGTTGGTTTTTTGTTTCGATATTAAGCACTTTTGACTTGCTCTGATCCTAAAACAAGTTTAAACTTACTAAGGACTTACTGTTATTTAAAATAAAGCAGGATTTAAGGTTTATAAATTGTAAAAAAGTGAAATCAAACAAATTATAGGCTCATTGCTTTTCTCCACTCCGCACATGATCGCCGACTCTTACACGCAAGCAACAAGCGGTGATGAGGCCTATGGGAAATGTGCTAGTCGTAAGTTTTAAAGCTTTAATATCTATAGAATAAGATTTTATCTGCATATATCAAGAAATATTATATAAGATTACAATTCTAGCATTGACCCTCTTCGCCAATGGATCCACAGACCCGGTAGCCAGCGTGGCCGCTAGTCGGCAGTGTCCAGCTCCAGAAAATCAGGTTGGTAAATCTAATTATTAATATTAATCGATAAATTTAGCCTGGCACCTTCCGATATGTGTTCCTCTTCTGTTTGGCTCATTTTCTGCACGGAATCGGCGCCACTCCACTCTTCACAATCGGCGTTTCGTTCATCGATGAGAATGTCGGTCCAGCTTTGTCATCGCTTTTTGTCGGTACGTAAGAATATCAGATTTCTAAATAGTATTAACTACTAAACATTATTTCAGGAATTTTCTACGCTTTTGCCATCTTCGGCCCAGCTTTCGGCTTCTTGATCTCCGGGAATTTCCTTCAGTACCACACCGACTTTTTGCATCTGCCACCAGAGCAATTCTTGAAGTAAGACCAATCAATAACCAATCTTTAATCCGCCCTCATGGCCGACTGGCTAAGAGCTTTGTATCTTAGTCAGGAGGTCAAGGGTTCAATCCCGCCAGTTAGATTATTGGTTCTTGTGTATAGGTTTTTTCCCGACATTTAGGGCTTAGGAGCTGTGCTTTTGTATTGTTTGTACGACATGAATAAATGTTTTTTGAAACTTCTCAATGTTGATTTCAGAGTTGTCAACTTGGAGGAGACCGATCCGAGATGGGTTGGCGCGTGGTGGTTGGGCTTTCAATTAGCAACGGTGATCGCTCTCGTGGCCGTGTTCCCGATTATGGCCTTACCGAAAGTGTTACCGGACTCCTTGAAATGGCACAGGTAAGTGAATACTAAATAAATAAAGCTTACAATGTCGATAACAGTCGATAACAGATAAAGATAAATCTATTGCTTCGAATGAAAGTTGTACCTTTAAGGCTTGACCCAGAGAGCCAATGCTCAGGCTCAGGTACAGGGGTACAGGGTGTTCAATATTTATGGGTAGATTACTAGGTTTAAAGCTCATTTTGTACAAAACAAATTTTGAGAGCGCTAAAGGACCTGCGAGCTCAAAAGTTCTCAGAAATATTGAACACCCAATATAATGCTCATTAGTCTAAAATCAAATCTGGCCTTTCAGATCCCGTCTTCGCAATGAGACGTTGACGGGCGGCAAGAAAAGAACTCCGGAATGTTGTGGAGTGCCGGCAAGTGGGAAAACGGCGGCAATCACTGGAGGCGAATTGTTGTTAGATGGTGAATTTTGGAAAAATAGAAAATGGATACTCTATGCAACCTATAGCATCTTTGCTATACTCAAGGTTCAGATAAAGCCGCTTCAAATGCTTTACACGACTCAATGCCGGCAGTCACCGCGCCGAGGAAAGGGCCACTTTGGTATCAACTCTGGTTGGATGTCAGGTAATAAAGTAAAGAATGGTAAAAAAAGATTTTCAGAGAGGGGATTGAACCCTCGGCTTTTTGCTTTCCAAGCAATTGCTCTAACCACTGAGCTATCCGTTCTGCTTGCTAGAGAAGAAAGAGTAGGAGATATCAAAGTTTAAAAATTGATTGAAACTCTATGAGTATTGAATCGGACTGATTTTCAGACACATTCCAATCGCCATCTACCGCATTCTCTCTAATGGTTCCTACATGTTAATCACTCTGGCGATGGCTATTGATGGTTAGTTCATTTAATAAAGTTTTTGAATATTTATTCTATATTAATCTTTCCTTTTCTTTGGTCTTTCTTGATACAAATCAATAGTTCCGAATCTCATTCCACCGCCAAATAAGTAAGCACCTCTTCGCATGATTAAACCGGTACGATAGATTGGAGAGTGACCGTTATCTGAAAATTAAGATTTGAAAAATATTCAAATCAAATTCACCTTTGAATTTTAGTGCTTTCGGTTTCCCAAAATGCCTCGAAAACGGTTTACGATCAATTTTCGGAAAATCATCTAGCTTTTTATCAATCTTCTTCTCCAACTTTTGCTCAACTTTTTGCTCAAACTTCTTCATAAACTTTGGCCTCTTCATCAATTTCTTCTTTTCTTTGAGAATTGGTGGATCGGATAAACCTAAAATTTTTGTTCTATGGCCGATCTTTGCACTACCTTCAATTCTTCTTTTCTGGACATGGAGTTGAACTGGTTCAAGAACTCGTGTTTGCTTAACTCCGGTAGAAGAGACTCGTGTTTCTCTTTGTTTTACTTTGTAGTCTTCATAGTCTAGGGATGGGTCTCTTCCTGAAAATGATATTGATGTCACAACTTGAAAAGGCTTAGTATCTTGAAATTTGAAATCTTGGAAGCTATTGCTAGTGTAGAATGGTAAAACAAATGATATTACTGGTGCAGAATGGTTGCTGTTTTCTATTGCTAACGCTGTTTTCCCAATAGAATTGATATTTTAAGAATAATTTTAACAGTCAAGAGATCAACCGGTTTTCATCAAAAAAACTTTTCCATCAAAATGTCGAATGCGAAATTTCGTACTGATGGGCTAGCAATTTTGAAAGTTTTCAACATCTCCTAGCTAACTATAAGTGCATTGAATAATCCATGGCATTTGAGAATTGAAATCACAGTCAACAAGTTTGTTTATTAAGTTTGTTAAGTTTACGTGCTGAAATATAAAAAAAAACGTTGCAAACCTTTCTTTGCGTGGCTCGATTTCGCCTGCACACCACCAATAAACAAGACAAAAAATAATAACCAATTCATTAACATTTTGAGAGAAAATTTTCCTACAACAGTAACAATTGAACTGACTTCCAAACTAGGTATGATTGTCTCGATGGGTTGACCGCTTGTCACTTCATCATTTCATCCTATTCAATTTCTCTCTCTCTATCAATGATCTCTTTGTCATTGAATGAAAAGGTGAGAAAAGGAAAGGAAATGAAGAGAAGAAATCAAGCATGTCTAATGTTCTTTCAAATTCTTTTTCTTTTTCTCCATTCCATTCATTCACCTCATAACTCAAAAGCGGAATTCCATTTCAATGGAAAAAGTTGATCTTTAGTGAGAAAGATGAGAACTTTATAAAAAAAAAGTAACTTTTTGTAAGCTCAGTGCATTGTTTTTCAAAAGGTTAAGACTTTTTGCAGTTATTGTGGAAAAAAGATGGTAATTGTTCAAAGCCTAATAAGCTTTAAAGATTGTAAAATGTCAGATTTCATTGATAGTAATGAAAGGTGAATGTTTGAAATCTAAAATTGTTAATTTTAGGTCTTGTTGTGACAGGAGCGAGTTCATTCATGTCAAAGTATCTGGAGAGGCAATTCAACGTGGCTCCCAGCAAGGCAAATGTGTTGATCGGTGAGGGAATTATGATCTGATCAAAGCTTTAAACTCTTGATAATTTACTGAAAAATATAGAAGATTTCTAAGCTTTTCTCGCTTTCTAAGCGTCATTTTTTCTCTATAAAACCTTTTAGGCTGTATCATGGTTCCAATGGCTGGAGTGGGCACGATGCTCTCCGGTTTCATTGTTCAACAATTCCGACTCAGCTGTGTGAAGACACTCAAATTCTCGATTGGTCAGTGTTGATTTTTGCTTAATCTTTGCTTAATCTTTACTTAATCTTTGCTTAATCTTTGCTTATTCTTTACTTAATCTTTGCTTAATCTTTACTTAATCTTTACTTATTCTTTGCTTAATCTTTACTCAATCTTTACTTAATCTTTCCTTAAACATCTCTTTCAGCTCTTCTCTTCTTTTCACTCCTTTTAACTCCGATGTATCTCATCTATTGTGATCATGATCCACTTGTTGGTGTTGAGGAACATTATCCTGGAAGGTAACTAGTTTAAAAAATCAAATTTATGCTTATATATACATAATTTTAGCCAAGAGGCTTTTGATTTCAAGTCAGATCCTTCAAAAGGTCTCTCTTTGTACAGTCAATGCAACAAAGAATGTGATTGTTTGGAGGCTGAATATCATCCGGTAAATTTCTATAGTAAACTTACTTTGAGACCTATTTCAATCTCAGGTATGCGCTGAGTTCACCGACGGAACTCAGAAATCTTTCTATTCACCGTGTTTTGCCGGGTGTCCTGATGCTTATCAAACATCGAGAAAGGTAAAAAGAAATCAATTTTCGTACAAAATTGTTTACAGTTCTATGACAATTGCACCTGTGTCCCAAATAATACAAAAGGTGCGCCAATGCGTTTGAAGAAAGGATTCTGTGAGTCGAAATGTTCGGGTCTTTTCGGGTTTCTCGTTCTCTTCGCTCCGCTCTCTTTCTGCACTTTTGCTGTTGGTGTACCATTGATTTCCGTGGTTCTACGGTATGTGATGAATTCAAAATTTTGCAAACAAAAAGACTAGATTTAAGTCTAAACCTTAAAATCATAGTCTATCTTGTTTTGGTTTTATAAAATATTATACAACTGAGACTACACGACAAAAAGCCACGTTTTGGCCACGTTTTGGTCTTCGGATAGCTGAAAATTATGACTTTCTGATTAATTAATGAATAGTCTTTTTTAAATCCTAATTCTATTAGATTGGAAAGAAAGTTCTCGGAAAAAGATCACTTATCATTGGCTACATCGCGTGTTCGAGGAATTTAATAAACCAAAAGCTAAAAAAAAGATTCTGAGAACTTTCTTTCCAACCTGATAGTTTGGATCTCGTCACGTGAATGTTTTTTGACTGAATGAACTTTCGCAAAGAAGTTGTTAAGCAAAAAAAGTCAAAGTTTGAAATAGTAAAGCAATTGAAGCTTCTAGAGAATTAATTTGGGAATTATTGAAGAATTAAAACAAGATCACTTATCAGCGGCTGCATCGCGTGTTCGAGGAATTTAATAAACCAAAAGTAAAAAAAAATTCCGAGAACTTTCTTTCCAACCTGATAGCTTACTATCAAAGTCTTTAATCTACAATATATTTTAAACTCCAGTTTGTCTACTTGGAAAAGATTTGTAAGAGGTTTTAAATGAAATTCTGAAAACAAATTCAAAACAATCTTTTGCATTAGAATCAGCAAATCCTTTCAGAACCGTTGACTACGCTGAACGATCATTTGCCTTGGGTATTCAATGGATTCTTGTTCGGGTGATTGGCACAATCCCTGCACCTGTTTTATTCGGTTGGATGTTCGACGTGAGCTGTATCCAAACGAGTAAAGATGAATGTTCTGGAGAGGTAGTTTTATCACAAACATTATCAATGAACCGACAGGATAAGGGCGGGTTTTTCTGGCTAGATGCCGCGTCCTCGTCGTGGTGCAGTCAGCAGCACGCTTGGCTATGGCTCACACGATCCGGGTTCGACCCAACGTGGGCTTAGGCTTAGGCTTAGGCTCAGGCTCAGGCAGCGCGCTTGGCTATGGCTCACACGATCGGGGTTCGACCCCACGTGGGGCCACTTAAGCTTTAATTTTTATTTTAAATGCTAAAACTATACTATATTGTAAGACTTTTAAATAAAATAGTTTTTTGGCCTAAAGACGGCTCGTACAGACGGACGGACAGACAGACTCTTTTATATAATAAATTTCAGTCTGGCAGTTGTATGTTGTATGTAAACAAGTTGTTGGCCGATCTTTTCTTAACGTTTTCTATCATTGGACAGGTGAGTAACTCTAATAGTAAAATGGAATTGTTGTTATGAAAATATTATTTTAGTCTCTTGCAATGGTCATCTTGATTTGTGTGCTTGTTTTCTTCGGAAGTTCGATGAGAGATGAGGCATTGCCGATGAAAGCTGAAGAGACGGAAGGTAACGAAATTTATTGCGAAATCTAGAATTTATTGAGCTCAAAACTGTATTTTAAAGGGCTTTGTCTGTCTAGTTTTTACTCTCAAACAAAACCTTTACAATAAACATCACCAATGCTTTCAGTTTGTAAAAGGTTAAACTTTAAAAGTTTCCCCTGCAATTCCCGATTCCAGGTGCTGAAGTAGAAGCTGGCGAAATCGAGCATGAAATCCCCGAGAAAGAGCCGCTGACAGTTGGCAGTGAATAGGCTTTTTTTGCATAGTTATTTATTTCTCGCTAGTCATTTGTTCGTCTTTTTTTTTCATCAAGTACTAGATGATTGACACTAAAGAGCTTTTTTCAAATTTCTTTTAGCTTTGCAAAATCTCAGCTAATCTCAGCTAAATTTTAGCCTTTAAACCTTTAGAATTCAATTTAAAAATCATCGATTACTTGTCAATTTTCTGTTTTTTTATTTTATTAATATTTCGTCCGAGTGTGCTCTGAAAGAAATCTGTGATCGCCCGGTTTTCCCTCACAAAAATCTTTTTTTTCTCGAGTGGCCAAACGAAAAGTTTCTGGGTATATTTTCATTTTTTTGTTGGAAATTTTATTTTTTTGATTTCTACGTTTACTGAATTTTTTATTGATCTAGAGATAAGAAACCGAATTTAGAGAGATAAGGAACCTAATTTAGCGAGATAAGAAACCAAATTTAGCGAGATAAGGAACCAAATTTAGAGAGATAGGTTCCTTATCTCTCTAAATTTGGTTCCTTATCTCGCTTAAATTTGGTTCCCTAATTTAGAGAGATAGGGAACCTAATTTAGAGAGATAAGGAACCTAATTTAGAGATAAGAAACCAAATTTAGAGAGATAGGTTCCTTATCTCTCTAAATTTGGTTCCTTATCTCGCTTAAATTTGGTTCCCTAATTTAGCGAGATAAGGAACCAAATTCCTAGAGATAAGGAACCAAATTTGTAGAGATAAGGAATCAAATTTAGAGAGATAAGGAACCTAATTTATCACCCGGTTTTCCCCTCACAAAAATCTTTTTTTTCTCGAGTGGCCAAACGAAAAGCTTCTGGGTATATTTTCATTTTTTTGTTGGAAATTTTATTTTTTTATTTCTGCGTTTACTGAATGTTTTCTCGATCTCGAAACGCTCATCCAATAACAATTTTACTGTGTTTTTTAGAACTAACAAGCTAGAAGACTAAAATAATCCTATAAAGATGAATATTGTTTTTAAAAAGCTCGCAAAGATTACAGTAACTATACAGACTAATGATTACTATCGTAATTGAAAACTTAGCCTAGTTAAAAGTTACCGTAGTCTGCCATAGTCTACCGTAAAACCCTCGTAGCCTAAAAGCTACAGTAATCAAGCATTAACCAAAAGATACTGTAGCCAAAGTTACTGTAGTTGAAAAGCTGATTGTAAAGGATTACGATGACTGGTGATGTCTTTAAATTTCATTTCTACTACTAGTTCTAAACTTAAAGCAATCTTTAAGCGTTCTATTAAAACACGGTATTTATTTAAAGTCAAATTAGCATTGATTTCCATTACCAATAGCCGTAAAACTTCTCCCCAAATCGGGTACTTTTCTCCTTTCCTTTCGAGTCTTCATTTTCCCCTTTTTGAGGCGATTTTCCTATCTTTGGTGCTTTTTTTTTTCTAGCTTTATGTAATATTTTCTTTAATTCGTAAATAATCTTTAATCTTTTTGTGCAATTTTTGATGCCGGTTACAGATATGAAAATTTTTTTTATCGACTTTGACGTGTTTTCTCTCATTTTCCCATTTTTGAAATGGTTTTCTGTGTTTTCCTTTAAGTAAACCGGTGACAAAAATATAATACGAATGAAAAAAATAAATATTTTCAAAGAATTTATTGACTAATTCGAAGAAAAAGTTTTAATTTAATGGATGACAACTCAAGATTTCCGAGAGTCGATCGTGTTCTAAGTGATAGCCTTCGGTGAGGGGACCTTTTCTAAACGAGAACTCATTAAAAATGATCGAATTAAGAAAAGTTCTTGTTATGATAAGATAAAGATAAGTTCTTGGCTATTTTGATCAACTTAAACTTTGTTTTGATATCATTTTATAGATCTTATCAATGTTATCAAATATTTTCTTGTTAAATCATCTCAAATCTTCTTAAATTTCTTGTTTGAGTTGATCTAAAAAGATTACGATCAAAACCAGGCAGGTAATCCATGCGTACTAGTCAATTCTAGTTCTAGAATTTGATTCAACAATGTTCATAAGTCAAAACTTATAGTCAAAGCTATTTAAAAGCAAATCCAAAGCTAAAAAGCCTGCTACAATCAGAGCCAGACAGGTAATCCGTGCGTACTAGGCAATTATAGTTTTAGAACTTGATTCAACAATGTTCACAAGTCAAAACTTATAGTTAAAGCTATTTAAAAAACATCCAAAGCTAGAAAGTCTGCTACAAGTTGTAGCTTTTATCATCTGAACTAGTTTTTATATGAATTACAACAAATCCTCTCCCAAACATCCACTAAAATTTACAATTGTTGTCGTATTCGAGCGATAGCCACCGCGTCTCTGATCGTTGGATAGAAATGCTCTTTTGGCACGTAAGCATAGAAACCGGATGATTCAAAGAGCTCTCGGACTGGGGCTGAAATCAAAGCAATTAGATTACAGATGTCAAGTGAACCTTTTGGAGCAGCAAAATACAATTGAACGCCTCGATTCTTCATTTCACTGAATACCTAAACAATGGTAAAAGTTCTGTAGAGTTGTAGTAGTAGAGTTGACCTCTTTGATCGCGCTGATTCCCATATAGTCGACAAAAGTGAATCCAGAACAATCGATGATGAAATGCCGAGATACAAAATCGTGCTCTTGAAGAGTGCTTTTCTGGAAGAGTGATCTTGAAGAGTGCTTGCTCTAGTCGTGGTAAAGTCGGGAGCGCTCTAGTCGTGGCAAAGTCGGGAGCGCTCTTGTCGTGGCAAAGTCGGGAGCTCTCTTGTCGTGGCAAAAAAGGGAGCGCTCTTGTCGTGGCAAAGTTCTCTTGTCTACGACTCACACAACCCGAGTTCGACTCCCCGTAATGCCACTCAACTTTCATTTTTCTAGTTTTTTTAGATCCCACAACTATATTACATTTAAGAGTTGTAAAGAGTTTTATCGTTAATTTAAGGGTTGCAAAGAGTTTTGAAGAGTTGTAAAGAGTTTTGAAAAGTTTTTATAATCAACTACAGTAGGGGTCATAACTTTGGACACACCTCGCGCGTTAAACTAGAATTTGTTCGTTCTTTTTGCTAATAAGAGCTTTTTCTACCGAAATCGACTATTTTATACAGTTTTTAGCCCTTTTCATTATTTCTGCATACGGTAGGTATCTTTTAATCTAGCTTACTCTAGAGACTCGATTTTATGCTTGAAACACAACTTTTTTCACTAGATCTCTTTTCTCTCAAATTTTCATACAGCCTATCAGTTCATCGACAAGGCTTTACGTCTATTTTTAAGCACAGAGTATATTTCCAGAACCTTTAACGGATTATGACTAAATCTTTACATATTCACCCGATCCGGATCTCCAAGACTCATCAACATATTTGCTCTCTCGTGTTTCAAAATGTAGTACTCATGCGATTCCTGCCAGGCACTAAATGCCTTTTGCACACTCGCTTTGAAATTCTCGACGTTCGTGAATAAAAGCGGAGAATCGAAACGGAAAATGCAAATTCCCTGAATAGCAAATCATTTAAGTTAACTCTAATCAATTTACGTTGAAAAAGTAAACATTCTCATATCGCTCAGAATCTCGGAAGTCAGCTGTTCCCTCAACGTTACCGAGTAGATGCCAGCGAGGCCTGGAATTGGACTTGTTAAGGATTCAAGAACTACTCTAAAGAACTAAATTCATATTGTTTAACAGAATACTTTAACTACCGTAAATACTGTAATAGTACCCCACTCCCCTCGTACAGTCGCGTAGTCGCAAAAGTTTTTTAGTATTTCATTTTTTTCAAAGCGCCCATACTTTCAAAAAATGCGTCTTTGGTATCAAAAATAACTGAAATTCAGGGCTATTTTTTGATACCAAAGATAATGACGGTGCGGCGTGTTGCGTAGCCTAGCTTTGAACGCGTTTTTCTCGACACTGGTTTGTGCTACAATGCTCGTTTAAATATCAAAAAATAGCTGAAATTCAGCTATTTTTTGATACCTAAGCGCGCATTGTAGCATAAACCAGTGTCGAGAAAAACGCGTTCAAAGCTAGACTACACAACGCTCCGCACCGTCATCATGGGGGTGGGGTATTATTACAGTACTTATGGTAATTTATTTATGAAACTTTACCACTGTTCTCGCATGATTGTTGTGAAGAGTGCATATCCAATAGCGATGATTAATCCCTCAGTCACATCGATGAAAGTTGTCGCCATAAAGGAAATCACCCAAATACTCTAAAATGAGAAATATTCAATAAGAACTTGATATTCTAAATAACAATATTTATATTCTTTAACAGAATTTATGTTAAAGCTTTTTTATTTGATTTGTTCACTTACAAAATCGATTTTCGAAAGCGGCCACAGAAGTCGCAAGTCGGCGAATTTGTCAAGAATTCCTTTTAAAGCCACAACAACAATCGCTGATAAAGCACACTAAATTTTCATAAGAAACCTTTAATAGAAAGTATCTAATGTAAAAGAAACCATCGGTAAAGTTTCCAGAAATCGTGCAAAGTAGAGCATCACGGAGAGCACCAAGAGAGAAGAGAAAATTGAGGAGAGCTAAAAGTTTGCTAAGCTAATAGTTTGCTAAGCTAAAAGTTTGCTAAGCTAAAAGTTTGCTAAGCTAAAGGTTTGCTAAAAGCTAAAAGTTTGCAAGTTTCAATGCGATTGGCTTACTTATTTTTTAAATTAACTATAGAAATTTGAAAGCTGTACGAGAGTTAAAGTTTAAAATAAAGTTAATATGTATACTTGGGTTTTCGTTCCAGCAGCCACATTGACTAGTGTCCGTCCTAGTGAACAAGCCACTGGGTAACAAGGGAAAGCCGAGGAGCCGATTGAGGTGAGACCGATAGCGTAGAGTTCCTAAATAGGAAGAGTACTTGATCAATGAATTCTAGCTGATGAAGAAGCTCGTATTCATCAGGAAAACCAAAAAAGTATCATCTAATCGTCTAAAGTCATCTCTTTTATCAAAAAATGTTTTCAGATCAGTTTACAGATCAGTTTTCCGCTCAAAAGGGAGTCTCATTATACCTTAGGGGTTTGCCAAGTCGCGAGCGATTACGCCGGCACAAAGAACACAAAGAATCTTTTGCTTACAATCAGGTGAAGCCTTACAATCAGATATGAGGCTAAGAATTGCAATAAATTGCACCTAGGGATTTTCCGGGTCAAGGAATCGATTGATGGTTTCATTTTATCGCATCTTATAATTTTTATATAGATAAACCTAATTTACTTTAATCATTTATAAATAAATTTTTCTTAGATTTTCATTTTTACTACCTTACCTGCCCAGCCAAAACCTCATACTCCTGCTTTTTTGCAAACATTTTTGCGAGTGATATATGAACGGCCATCGAGACGATGGCTATTGAGAACGCTTCAGGGATTACATAGGGAATAAGACGAAAATCTGGGAATGAAGCATTCGGGAGACTGAAACAATTGTAAAGCTCAGTTTCAAGACAGTCAAATGCTTTACCCTGTCGGTATCTTGCTTGCAATCTTCATATTGTGAGAACCATTGAAATCCATCAAGTAGGAGGTTAGTGTGCCGCCGACAAGCTATTTACGTTTAATCAAAATTTCCCAAACATCAAGTAGTATTAATCCGTACAATACTACCGTAAGTACTGTAATAGTACCCGACCCCCATAATGACGGTGCGGAATGTTGAGTAGTCTAGCTTTGAACGAGTTTTTCTCGGCACTGGTTTATGCTACAATGCGCGCTTAGGTATCAAAAAATAGCTGAAATTCAGGGCTATTTTTTGATAAAAAGACGCATTTTTGATACCAAAGATAATGACGGTGCGGAGCGTTGTGTAGTCTAGCTTTGAACGCGTTTTTCTCGGCACTGGTTTATGCTACAATGCGCGCTTAGGTATCAAAAAATAGCTGAAATTCAGGGCTATTTTTTTGATAAAAAGACGCATTTTTTGAAAGTACGGGTCGCTTGAAAGTATGCTTTGAAAAAATGAAATACTAAAAAACTTTTGCGACTACGCGACTGTACGAGGGCGGTGGGGTACTATTAAAGTATTTACGGTAGATCAGATACCTTTGTATTGATCAATGTTGCATAATCTAAGTACTAGTTTACGGTAAGTATCAATGAAGAAATTCAACTCACCACAAACAACTCAAACGGTATCGGAATATTGATGTTGAAGCGCTTGTTCAGCTTAGGATTGACAAATTCTTTTCCGACAATAAGTATCGTCATCATAATTAAAGAAATAGAAATAGAAAATAAATTAATATCAGAAAAACGATCAATGAAAAGATCGTAGAGTCTCTAAAATCATTTAAAGGCATTTGAAAAGCTATTGGACATTTGAAAAGCGCTCTTCTCTTTTCCCTTTTTCAACTTTTCACTTCAACTTTTCTTAGTGTTAAGCTATTCAATTTCTAAATTCCAAATATTCATTGGATTCGCCTTTGCTTTCTCTTTCAATTAATATAAAAACTATTTACATTGAACAGTCGAACACCAAGAAATTTGAGTTCAATTGGAGCTCAGTTGGAGCTCAGTTGGAACTCAGTTGGAGCGCAGTTGAAGCTCAGTTGGAGCTCAGTTGGAGCTCAATTGGAGCTCAGTTGGAGCTCAATTGGAGCTCAGTTGGAGCTCAGTTTCGAATGGTAAAGGGGCAAGACGCTTATCAAATGTCCCACAATTCATTTAAATGCCTTTCCTTACCATCACAATGTATCCAGGTCCTTGTCTATTTCTCAGTTTTCGAATTCCAAGTAAATCTTTGATTTGAGAAACAAGAACATGACATGAAGCACCTGTTGTAAACCCAGCTACTACCTGAGTTTTTAGTTTAAAAACTTAAACATTTGAAATCACTCACTTGATCTGAAAAATAAGTAATTATGAAATCGAGTCCCAAGAAGCCCATAAGGAACTGAATAATTTCTGAAATTTCTCGGCTTTACCAAGTCACTCACTTGCATTAGTCCAACAGATAAAGTTATTGAGGCAGCGACTTCAGATGGAGTGTACCCTTGCAAATTAATCGTCTCGTTTAAATTAAGAAATCCATCTTGGATTTCGGTCACCTAAAAACCCCCTAAATAAGTTTGTAGATACTGTAGTTAGTCTAGAGTTACAGTCGACTCACACTTATCCATTTAATCTATAGTAATCTCTAGTAAGACGAAAGGCTTTCAACTCACATGTGTTATTCTATCAACAGCCATTCCAGTCATCAAAGAAACAACAGCAAAAGAGCCTGAAGATTGATTTTTGTTTCAAAAGAAAAATTATGATTTGAGAAACCTATTGAATTGTGCCTTGACATTCCGAAGATCATGTATAAAAGTGTGGGGAAGAGGGAAGTGTAGAGGCCATTGACTGGGGGAACTTTGGCGAGGACGGCGTAAGCGATGCCTGGAATAGAACATCGATTGTGAGCAGTCATGTTTGGTTCGTTTGCCTGGTTAGTTTGCCTGGTTAGTTTGCCGTTGCCTGGTTAGTTTCCGTTGCCTGGTTCGTTTGGCGTTGCCAATCTACATACCTTGACTAGGTTTCTTTGAAAAACGTTTAATTTACTTTCATTCGATAGAGGATTCGATAGAGATTTGATTCCAAGTCGATGAAAGTAAATTCAACGTTTTACAAAGAAACCTGGTCAAGATACGAGCAAAATTCATTGATTGCCAACGGCAAACGGCAAACGGAAATTTGCTTTGTGATCCTGGCATTGTCCCAGTTGAAGCTCTACTTAAAGTAGAGAGGATTGAACTCTCGCTTTCTGAGCAATTCCTCTAACCATTGAGCTATCCAGTACCTTTACTTGCCAAGAGAAAAAGGGAAAGTCAATGGAAAGAAGCTTACCTTGTGGTACATGCATAATTCCAACAGTTAATCCTCCAATCACATCATTCACAAGGTTCTCTTTGCAATTGTAAGTCGGCAACCAATTTGTGATTGGCAAGAAGGACAGCAGATTGTATCTGGACAATTAGTTACAATTACTTATCAAAGTTTTACTTAAAACTTACTTGAAAGCCGAGAATGAAGTAAATGGATGAGTGTATCGTTGAAAGTATTTCTTCGCATGATGCACAAATGGATCCTCTTGTTCGGGTTTTTGATAAGAGAATTTCTCATCGAATTCTACCTGAAATTTAATTTGAAAGAGGTTTAAGATTTTAAACTCAAAGAGCAGAACAAGAAAGAAAAATAGAAAAATTTTGTTATGATCGTTATGATTAGAGTGTGTTCCTTGCAGACAACGCGTTTTCTAAAAAGCTACCGTAACCCTATGCTTTGCACGTCAAATATAAGCGACCGTAACCTTATGCTTTGCATAAGCAAACTTTTCAAAATGCAAATGTACATAAAAATTTTGCACTTTTTTTCTCTTTTTCAAACAGGTTAAATTGATAATTAGAGATTATTATTTACGAATTTACTAAGCCGATTGTCTACATTTGCACTAGAACGATTCAAAAATAAATTCCACTCCCTAAAAAACCTAAAAACCTTAAATAAAACGATCCATTACTATATTTAAAGAAAATTTTGCACATTTTTTTCGCCCGGCTATTTAGAGTAGCGTGTAGAAAACCGTGTGATTGTGAGAGAAAAATGGATGCTTAATAATACCATATAGAATCAGAAGTCGATAGCCTGAGCTTTAAGAACTTTGCACAACTTATCGCGATTAAGAACAACTGCGAACAGTGTTCCAAATTCTTAAGTAACCTAAAAAAACCAAATCGATGAAAAATGGATGCTGAAAAATGATTGAAAAATGGATAATAGGAGAAATTCTAGTAATATTAGGTTGTCCGGAATGAAAATACCCTTTTAATGAAAAATAAATTGATCTCCACAAAAAGAAAACCATGCGATTTAATCCAAAAGATATTCTCCTTTGTTGGCAATAGTCTTTCTCCATTTTTCTTTCAAATTTCGGATCCCTTTGCTGAAGAAATCCTGAGGCTGCGAGTCGAAGTATTGGCCTACCCAAATTCGGACTTCGTCGTGATCCTTGAAGTGTTTATCGGCCAGGAAGTGCTGCATAGGTCGAAATAAGTGGTAGTCTGAGGGTGCCAGATCTGGACTATACGGCGGATGCGGGAGACATTCCCAACCCAATTCCTCGAGTTGCCTTTACGCTTATAAATCATTTTTAGAGTTTCGCAACTTCTTCGCGTAGACCTAAAATGCTCTCACTAGCCTGGGGATTTTATGTCAAAGTATGTGGGCATCGCAAAGTATGTGGATGTGAGCAGCAAAAAGACTCGAGCACATCGCAAAGTGTGGAGTGGCAGCAAAGACCGAGCACACGCAAAGCATGTGGATGTGAGCAGCAAAGACTCGAGCACACGCAAGTTGTGGTGGAGCAGCAAGACCGAGCACACGCAAAGCAGTGGAGGGCGCAAAAGACTCGAGCACATCGCAAAGTATGTGGATGTGAGCAGCAAAAAGACTCGAGCACATCGCAAAGTATGTGGATGTGAGCAGCAAAAAGACTCGAGCACTCGAGCACAGCACTATGCCCCAGAAAAGCAATTGCAAATGATTTTAAAATGCTGTGTAAAATTAAAGAAAACATTTAAAATAGAAAAAGTTAAGAAATGCTATTAAAAACTTATATTATTTACGAATTTACTAGGCCCATTGTCTACATTTGCACTAGAACGATTCAAAAACAAATTCCACTCCCTAAAGAACCTAAAAACCTTAAATAAAACGATCCATTACTATATTTAAAGAAAATTTTGCACATTTTTTCGCCCGGCTATTTATAGCTTTGCTTAAAAAGTGCACCTTTTAGAAAACGTATTGTCGGAAGTTTGTCGGATCAATTGTCTTCATCAATCAACAAAAAGCTGTCAATACAAATTTGTCTGACAAATTGTCTGTCAACAAGGAGCACACTCTAGTTATGATCACCTTGATCATTGAAAAAGATTGCACTTTTGTTTATAAACCTGATTCATTGGCGGTCGGATATTTCTCCCAAAATCATCAGCAATCGATTTTTTTCGCGTTGACGGTGGGATCTCGTCAGCTAGTGAAGAGCGACGAGATTGAACTGACTAAATAAAATTTCTAATAGAATCTTTACGGTAACTGTTTGCTCTTAGTACTTGTTACTTACTGTTACTGTTTATAAAACTAGAGCTGTAAATGATTGATCAAAATTTCAGTAAGCTGGGGTACGACACTTTTGTCAAAGCTGGCTGCCCATCTTATGAATGTCAATTGTGTAAAAAGTACTGTAAGATCTGCTCCTAGGTTACTGTAGTACTGTAGATTCTTTACAGTATCCAAAAATCTGGTATTTTTCCAGCCGAATCCATATCGAATGCCCAAAATCTTTTATCAAGTAATGCGCTTTTCAAAAAATAAACCTTCTCAAAGTCTTTTGCTAAAATGCAAATGTAAATTTAGTTTAAACTTAGTTTAAACAGTTTAAAACAGTTTTAAACAGTTTTGAACTTAGTTTAAACAGTTTTAAACACTTTTAAACAGTTTTGAACTTAGTTTAAACAGTTTTAAACACTTTTAAACAGTTTTGAACTTGGTTTAAACAGTTTTAAACACTTTTAAACAGTTTAAAACCTTCCAAAGCTTCAGCACTTTTTAAACTAATATTCATAAACTGTAGATAGTGATTTTATTGGGTTGGTGGATTGAAAACTGCCGGCTATTGTCATATGTGACAGTTTGAGCACTTTCTTCAAAAGAAACCCATTTTGGCGACAATGGAAAAGTTGTAGAGAATCAAAAATCAAGCTTATATCCAAATTTTCAGCACGATTCAAAAACTGGTTTTCAAGAAATGCCAAATTTACGAATTTTCACAAAACTTGCATTTTAAGCGAAACTACTGAGTGTATCTTTTTGGAAATTTGGCTATAAGCCTAATTTTTGATTCTCTACAACTTTTCTATTGACACCAGAATGGGTTTCTTTTGAAGAAAGTGCTCAAACTGTGACATCTCCAGTCCTCCTTTTTTGAGTCTCACACTTGTCTCACACACAAACCAAAATCCTAAGAAGAAAGAGGAATCCGTAAATTGCCTGTAAAATGGGCAGAAGTCGTCAATAGTAATGGAAATTATTTGGAATGAATTCATGGTTTTATGTTCAATAAATTTTAGTTCAAAGTCCGGCAGTTTTCAATTCACCAATCCAATAAATTCAGTTTAAACTTTTAAAACTTTCCAAAGCTTCAGCACTTTTAAAACTAATATTCATAAACTGTCGATAGTGATTTTAGATTTGAAAATAGTTTAAAAAAACTCACTCTTGGCTTAATTCCCGTTTCCACCTCAGTTGGTGTGATTTTCGAGGAGTTTGGTGGCATGTCGATCAAATAAATCACTCACTTTAAATAAATAATCTTCGTAGGGATAATTTTTAGAAACTGAAATTGATTTAGAAGAAAACTATAAACAGTAAAACTGCTTGCCAACAAAACCTCTTTGAACTCACGACAAAAATAGAGAAAATTCTCTGTTTTGAACAATTTTTCTAATCTCTCAAATCAAAAGCGCAAAGAAAAAAAGAAAAAAATTGTTTCAACGTTGGTTGTTGATTAGAAAATTGACAAAAAAGGAAGGAAATTTTGCAAAAATTCGTTTGATCTTTGTCAATTTTCGGTATGATTAGTCTTGCAGGAAACTAATCACATTCTATCATTCACAAAGCACCAAATTTTAAATAGATTTCAATCTTACAAGAAAAAATGATGATGTTGACCTATTTAAAGTGAATAAGTGGACAAGATTAGTGTTGGTTTTGAATAGGGAAAAGTGGGTAAGCTGAAGAACGTGAAAAACCTCAAAACAAAAGCTTTAGAGGTGAAAAGCTTGAGTTGTCGTAGTCAAAAAGATCCAAGAATTGTATCAATCTTTTAGGGAAGAAGGGAAGGAAAGGGAAGAAGCAGATTTGGTTATTCCAAAAGAAGCCAAGACCAAGACAAAGCCAAGACCAAGACAAGGCCAAGACCAAGACAAAGCCAAGACCAAGACAAAGCCAAGACCAAGACAAAGCCAAGACAGAGTTTGCTCTTATTATCATTTACATTAACGTCTAAGGAACTAATTGTGAAATAGTCGTGAAATGATCTTAATGCTAACCTTAATCTTAATCTAAATCTTAATTAAGGCCCTACTCTGGTGGCAATGGGATACGTACCGGTGTAGCTCATTGGTGGAGTGTTCGCCCGGTAAGCAAGAGGTTCGAATCCCGGCGATGACTATGTTTTGGATTCCCAACCCCAACTCATAAAAGAACCGGCGTGTCCAACTTCTTATTAGTTGGAATCCAGTTGAAAAGTCCCTTATGATGCTACAGAAAGTATTAGAATTTACTACGGTTGTCAAAAAAGTCTTGGCCGGTCAGTGATCGATTGTTGGTAAGTTGGAATCGATTGATTTGAATGCAATGTAAAGGGAGAAGACTTTTTTGACGACTGTATCTTCGAGTTAGCTAAAAACATAAACTAATAGCTTTAAAAAGAAAAGAATAGACGTTTAACAATGAAAACTTTTGCTTTTGCTGTTCTACAAGTGCATCAATGTGATGTTGGATGCCTTTTAAAAATCAAACAACTAGTGTAAAGGCGATTTCTCTGTTTTCAACAAAATATCGAAGTACTTATGCAGGTCTAATTCTGCGATTTCCTGAAATTTGCATAAATCAGCGCTTTCGATTTCGGACGTCAAAAGAGCTGAGAGCATTTTATAGAAAAATCATCTAAACAAAATCCATAAGCACTTCATCAACACGTGGTTTTTATGAAAACTATCTTTGAGGCCGAATAATAAGTTCTGTTAACTATTAGGTGACTGTCAATTTTCTCAGTAACAACGCGCCAGCACACACGGCGAAAGCTTCTTGTATGGAGTTAGAGGAATTCGGATGAAATGTCTTACCGCATGCGCCATACAGTCCAAACTTGTCACCATCTAAGGGGATCCGCAATCTGAAGCAAGGTTAGAGGGATGTTATATTAGGGTGGTGCAAAAGAAACAGCCGATTTGACGGTGAATTCAAAAAAAGATGGCTTTTGATAGTGACATGATCACAATGGAATATTTTCGCAAGATCTCGAGCTGATTGGCATGGATCGGCCTGAATAACGTCCCTCAGCTTGGCTTCGTTCACGACTTCTGGCCTCGAACCGTGCTCGCAATCTTCCAAAGTCTCGTCTCCGTCTCGGAATTGTTTAAACCAAGTCTGACACCGCCTGAGAGACAAACTGCCATCTCCGAAAGCAGCACAGAGAGAACGATGCGATTCGGCAGCAGACTTTCCAATTTTGAAGTTAAACAGTAATGCTGCTCGTAGCACAAACTTTTGCTCGACCATGATCTAAATAAAAAAACAACAACCAAAAACTTCAAATGTCGAAATAAATAGCAAACAAATAGGCAAACAAAACATAAAAAAAATCATACCGTTAGCATCGCTCGTTTCTGATAAATGAGAGCTGATACCCATCAGGAGTTTCTTTTGCACCACCCTAATAGTTTAACTTGAAATAACTAGTACAAAGTGAAAAATCCACTGCACAATACCACTTTTCATTTTCGCCAATCAATGTGTCAGATAGGGTGTGCTTTTATTGGCACAAAGTACAATTAACAAATGCATCAATTTACTAGCATCAATTTTCTGATAGTAAAAGACAATTATCTTAAGTAGCACATAGACAATTCATCTTTTCTTATACTTAACTTTATTCTTCAGTTTTACTCATTCTAATTCATTCTAATTCATTCTATTATTCAAAAATGCCCTCTTTTCCATTCACCAGTCTTCCCAACAAACTCCAACACTTCAATTTTATTTTATTTTAACACTTTGAAGCTCCGCAAAGTCAACATCAACTTTTACCGTTGAACATTGAAGAAAATCGAGTATTTCGAAGTTCTTCTACTGATAAGCAATGTTGAAATCTAAGATAAATTACAATGCTTCAAAATCAAGCCAATATTTTCTTCAGTTTCAGCTTTTATCCATCACTTGCCTCGTTCATTATTTGAGAGAGACTCTCAAGCTTGGCTCAAGCTTGAGCTCGTTCATTATTTGATCTAAAAGGTTCCAATACGGTTCCTATTTTGATCCAATACGGTTCCAATACGGTTATTTTTCGATCTAAAAGGTTCTAATACGGTTCCAATACGGTTCTTTTTTTTGATCTAAAAGGTTCCAATACGGTTCCTATTTTGATCTAATACGGTTCCAATACGATTCCGATACGGTTCCTATTTTGATCCAATACGGTTCCTATTTTGATCCAATACGGTTCCAATAGCAGCGACCCAAGCTTGGCTCCTTGAATCACGAGTAGAACAACTTTAAATAAATCAAAACAAACAAACAAACAAACAAACAAAAATAAATCATATCCAATTTATTTAAAAGCCTGCAAAACCCTCAGTTCTACTTTGATCATGAAATCAGGACTTGGCTTTGAAAGTGGGAAATCATCGATGAATCTAAAATTTGCCCAGACAATCACTTACGAAACTTGCGCTATCATGGATTTCATCATTTCTGTGATCTTTTCATCGTAGAAATCGATCGTTTTGACCATTTTTGTGTTTAGACTACTGATTCCTATGAGATCTCGTTTTCCGATGGCTTGTTCACTTGACAAGGAAAAATATGTGATCGAGAAGCTGAAGATCATGACAAAATCTTCTAAATCTGTTGATATTCACAATTGTCAACCACCTTTCATCAAAGCCTTTCAACGAAACAAATCTTCATTGCGATTTACGGATTTGAGAGCTTTCTTAACTGCCCAATTTTCACTCCCATCACGTCTCCATAAAGGTTCCGAGCTTCTCTTGAAAATCCCAGACTAACTTCTGATCAAAAGATTGCTCAAATGGGTATTATTAAGCAATTGCTTGAAGGAAATGAGCTTTCATGAATGTTGGAAAGAATGGAGGAAAGGAAAGCTTACTAAAGTTTTATTCAGATGAACAGGCCATCTACGAAAGTGCAACGAGAAATCTGATAGTGATTTTGTTTCGCTTCTCAGTTACTTGTCCATTTTTTTTGATAGCCATTTGTACTATAGGATTTCTAAAGCATTTAGATTATTTTCTGAACTAATTCCAGATTAATTTAATTAACCAATATTCATTCTATTTTTCATTGCAAGTTTCTAGTTTTCCATTCCATTTCATTCTATTTTTTTTAAAGTTCAAACTGTTATTTATAATTTAAAGTCTAGTTTAAGTTTAAGAAATCGATGTTTATTTAATTACGAATTGCTTAAACTTCAACCAATTTAACCACATATTTCGCTGTTCACAGTTCTTGTTGAAAATTTTTTTACCATTCTTGTTATTCTTTTATGTCTTGTATCTTGTAAATATTATGTATTGGATTGGTGAAAATTTCGCGGGACTCGCAGATAAAAAAACAACAGCATTGAACCAGCTGAAAGGGGGTTTGGTTACTTCAAAATTTCCTCAAATTATTGCGAAAAAATTATGCTTCCAGCTTTTTATTTTTTGGTATTTTTCTTCACTTCTTCTATTGCATTCGACAATCTGCCACCGGGACATATTCGTCATGTCATGCTTCATGAGTTCCTACAAGAGCACAGTGCAGGCTTAGCAGCTGCTAATATTAAAGAGATATATGGGGAGGACTCACCTTCCGAAAGAACGTGTCGAGTATGGTTTGCCAAGTTTTGATCTGGGGACAAATTTTTGAAAGATGCAGAGGGCCGTGGAGCGGCACCCCAACTGGATGACTTCAAATCACTCGAACACGACCATCGGGTGTCATCGCGTAAATTGGGAGAAGAGTTCAGGGTTGATCATGCTACAGTGCTAAGACACCTTCATACCCTTGGATTTAAATCGAAACTTGGGGCTTGGGTGCCCCATGACCTCAATAACCCCCAGAAGTGGCAGCGCGTCGATCAGTGCCGTCCATCTCTCACAATACAAAAGAAAATCTTTTCTTTCTCGAATTGTGATAGGAGATGAGAAATGGGTTTTATCTGTGAACTTTCAGAGGACGTGGCAATGGGTGGGACCAGGCAAGAAACCTGAAAGTGACCCTAAGCCCGATTTACACCAGAAGAAGCTTATGCTCTACGTTTTCTGGGTTATGGAGAGAGTGGTGTACTGGGAGTTGCTGGATAGCAAGACTGAGAGTTGCTGGATAGTACTGGGAGTTGCTGGATAGCAAGACGACCCTTAATGCAATCAAATACAGTGAACAGCTGGAAAAGGTGAATGAATCCCTGAAGAAGAATAGGCCCTCCAAGTCAAAGATCGTTCTCCTTCACGACAACACGCATCCTCATGTTGCAAAACTGACTCGCTCTAAAATAAATAGCCTTGTTTGGGAACTTTTGTTGCATTCCCCATACAGTCTGGACCTCGCCCCTTCTGATTACTATTTATTTCGGATCATGAGTGATGAGCTTGCGGGAGAACACTTTGATTCGGAAGAAGCGGTCAAAAATTGGCTTTGAAAGTTTTTCGATTCAGAAGCAAAGCCTACTACGAAAAAGGAATCCGCAAATTGCCTGTAAAATGGACAGAAATCGTCAATAATAATGGAAATTATTTGGAATGAATTTATGGTTTTACGTTGAATAAATTTTAGTTCAAAGTCCCGCAGTTTTCAATTCATTAACCCAATATTTTGAAAAAAAAAACTGTTAAAATCCATGTTTTCAACAAAGAAAATGGCCAAAAATCAATTTGAAAATGGCCAAAAATGAGTGAGCAGAGGAACTAAAAAGGCTCACAGAAAGGCCTATGGAAAGGCCCATGGAAACAAGGCCTTTGCAGGAGGAATGAAAGAAAGAAAAGAGGCTGCACACAAAAAGCAAATAATGGCTTGACCTCACTATTTAAAGCTAGATAGTTTGAAATGAATATCTTCAATATTTCTAACATTTTTCTTTCATTAGAGACTTGTTTAGCTTTTTATGTTAAATCAAACTTTTAAATGTTAAAAAATTCGAAGTTAAGAGTTTTCTTAACACTAGATTTAAGAAATTGAATAAATAAAACTTTTAAAGGAAATTAAAGCACTGAAATTGTTGTTTAGGAGTTCAATTTTAGCTTAAAAAATGAAATTTAAAGATTGAAAAGTGTAGAATTAGTAGCTTTAAAGTAATAATTGTTTCGTTTTAAGCTTTAAGCTTTAAGCTTTAAACTTTAAGCTTTAAGCTTTATCAGTAGCTTTAAAGTAGTAATTGTTTCGCTTTAAGCTTTAACCTTTAAGCTTTATCAGTAGCTTTAAAGTAGTAATTGTTTCGTTTCGTTTTCAAATTTTCAATAAAAAATCTCTATCCTTTAAGCAAATTATACAACTTTTTATGTGAATATTTTAGATTTTTTAGCTGTTATGGCTATTTAGGTTATTATTTTGTTTGATTGCAAGTAACTTTTGATTTCTCTTTGATTTCTCTTTGATTTCTCTTTGCTTTGATTTCTCGCTTTGATTTCTCTTTGCTTTCTCGGGCAAAAACCATCAGCTTTCCAACAAATATGCAAAACCCGAACGGAAAAAATTGAAAATTTATTTTTTCGTCACTGTTTTTGAGACTAAAACATTGTAGTTTTTGCATTTTTTGCAGAAAAATTAAATAAAGCAAGATGATTAGCTTAAAAATTAATGGTTTTTATTCTGTACTGCTATACTTTGTGCTCAAAATCAGAAACCCAAACTATCTGGCGCATTGGCTTGAGTATTGTTTCCTAAGACTATGAGTAGTAGACTACCGTATTTACTCTATTAGTGGGGTCCCCCACTATTTTTTCAATCCCCTTCCAGACGACCCCACTATTAGAGAAATTTAAAAGAACATAAAACCAAAGTTTTAAATTGAAAAGATATCAATTTTTCTCCGAAATTCTTGACAAAACAAGTTTGGCTTCATATTTTATTTAGCTTTAACCGTAACAAAACATTAACAAACAGTAAAAGAACTAATCCAAGAGATCAACAATTGATGTATCACTTTCGTTACCAATATCTTCTTCCAATTCGAGAGGACCCCACTATTTTTTCAACCCCCCTCCAGACGACCCCACTATTAGAGAGGACCCCACTAATAGAGTAAATACGGTATAGACTATTCTGGTCATTGATTTCCTTGTTGTTACAACGTTCTTTGAGGCTAATTCTCTTATTACGGTATTAAGTGTAGATTGTGTATTCAGCTTAGAATAGGGTATTCATTAGCTGGATTCCGGTATTAAGTCTAGATTGGTTATTCAGCTTAGAATAGGGTATTCAGTCTCTATAGCTGGATTACGGTATTAAGTGTAGAATGTGTATTTAGCTTAGAATAGGGTATTCAGTCTACATGAGCATATCTGATAGTCGGTAAATGTTAGGTGTGTGAAAAAGTAATCCACGTTTTTAACGTTTAAATATAATAGACCATAAGTTTCGTTAAATAAAATTCATGGCATTCAAGCGTTTCCTTACGGTTGATCCATCACAATTTAATGTAAGACCTATTTCTGAAGAGGTTGGACGAGGGTTTTCGAGAAGACAGCGTCTTATTTGGTCATCCGAACAGGTCTCAGGGCGACCGCCACGTGGTTCATCTTCTAGGCTTCCATTACCACCTTTGAATCGTCGGAACCAAAACCTAGCGGTATCATCAATAACGGCGTCTTCGCCAAACGCATTCCGAATTCGACTTGCAGCCTCCGCAGCTTTCAACCCATTTTTGAACTCATAAAGCAAATTTGACCGAATAACGATACTTGTGTATACCATTTTCAAACTAAAATGAAAGTAGTTTATTGTCGTCCTTTTAACAAAATGAATATATCATTCGAAAGAGGACAAAATAAGCTTTTAAACGATATAATAGGTTGATGCATAAGTCTTTTCGTTTTTTTCGTACTTCTGTTAAAAAGTAACAAATTCACCAATTAATCTATAGTTTGCTCTATAAAAAAAGTGTTTTTTTTGTTCAATTTGCATCTTTTTAAATGAATTTCGGTTCACTTTGAAGCAAATTCGAGAGTGAAAAACGCCTTTTTCGTAAAAATCTATAAAAAACTCTACGGAAAAATTGGCTGAATGAATTTCTCTGAAATTTTGGCGAAATATCAAACGTTTTTTTTCTCTATCTTTTATCTATTGACACGAAGATAGGTTTTCTTTAGCTAAGGTGTCTAAACCGCATCATCGAGTTAGCCCTTTTTGACTACCCGACTTCATACTCTCAAGAAAATCCAGGCATTAAATATTTTTAAACCCGTTTTAATGTTATTTTGCAGAAAAATAATTGGTTTTTCTAATGAAATCAACCGTAGTTTAATTCGTGCATTTGTTGTCTTGAAACGGCAGACGAAAAGGAACAAAAACACTTGTGCATCAACCTAATATATATCGTTCACAAAAAATTAAAAATTGTTTAGATATATTTATTTAAACAAAATAAAAATAAAAAACGTGGATTACTTTTTCACACACCTAATAGTATGTATTCTAATTTTGAGTACAAAGGAAAGCTCAGTTTTAAACTTAACTTCTCCAATGAAAAATTAAATAAAGCAAGAGGATTAGCTTAAAAATTAATTGTTTTTATTCCGTAGTACTCCTATACTTTGTGCTCAAACGAATATCATTACAAAAAGTAAGCAGTTAAACATTTTATTGGAGAAGTTAAGTTTAAAACTGAGCTTTCCTTTGTATTCAAAATTAGAATACATACTATCTATCGACTGTCAGATATGCTCATCAGCTAGATATCAGAAACCAAAACTATCGCACTGTCTTGAGTATTGTTTCCTGTATTCTGATCATTGATTTCCTTGTTGTTAAAACGTTCTTTGAGGCTAATTCTCTTATTTTAGCATATCTGACAGTCGGTAAATAGTATGCGTTTCTAATTTTGAATACAAAGGAAAGCTCAGTTTTAAACTTAACCTCTCCAATAAAAATGTTTAATTCTTTACTTTTTGTAATCAAATTCGTTTTAGAACTGTAAAAACAAGCTCTTCAATTCAACTCTGTTTTTCTGTTCTCATTCTCGAATTTCAATGTTTATCAATGGAACTTTCAACTTAGAAAACGAGACGAGAAAGCTTTTGTCTTTTGGTCGAAAAAGAATTCTTTGGTGTCTCTTATCAATTCTGCTTCCTACCCATCACCGGATCCAGAATTCAAATCATTTTTGATTCTTTTGTCTTTAAAACGTGCCATTTATCAATTTGATTTATTTAAATGACAATGCCAAATATAAACTTCAACAACTTCTTACTTTACTCGAGTTATTTACTGACTTCAATCGTGAGTTCATAAATATTAAAGCCTTAAATAAACCGATAAAAATTATCCATTTTGAAATTTTAAAAAAATCTTTAGGAAGATCGAGCATGGTCATTTGCCGTGGCTCTCACAATGCAAGAGTTGGGTGGGATGAGACTTGTGTCGATTGAGCAATTCGCTGAAGGACTTTCTTGTATGGCATTCTCTGGAGCACTTGGAAAATATTGTGATGATGTTACAAGAAAGATTGGTGAGTGTCAGTGACTTATAATGGCAATCTAAAAGTAATCTGACAATTAGGATCGTTTTGGGACTAGATGGAATTTATAAAATCGATCACAGATCACAGAATTTTAAAATTTTGAAAAACCAGCTTTTGCAATCAGAAATCCGTGTAAATTGTATGAATTTATGAGTTCTATAGATCTAGATCATTCTATTTCTATAGATCTATAGATTCTATAGATCATTCTATCGATCGAACAAGTCGAGAAACGATTAGCCATCAAATTTTCATCTTTTCTACCAATTGTACCATTCTAGCTCTCAATTTTGCTCAGAAAATCATTTACGAAACTGAATTTCCAGCACTATCAACTGCTTTTTGATTATTTCTTTGTACAGAATTGTACAATTGATACAAGTGGTTTACCCGTACAGTTTAAATCTTAAAGTGCATTGAAAGCATACGAATCTTTCCTATTTCAGGCATCTCCACAGTAATCCCAATGAACAACTTCTCCCTTCTCGCTTCTTGTGTCGCTTTTGTAACTTGTTTATCACTAAACGAATCTTCAAATAAAGCTCTATACACAAGTAAGCATTTTATTCAAAAAATACCATCAAAGAATTCAGTTTTACTTGTCATTGGTATGATCCTATGTGCGGTGAATCGTCTCGGGATCAATCAAGAGAAAAACTGTTTGGGAAGAGATTGGGTGATCGTGCTCAGTCAAGGAGACAAACTGTCAAGTGGGTTAAAATCGTGAAACAGTAACAAAACAGTAGCAAAACAGTAACAATCTTCTCCAGAGTTGAACGCCATTTTGCTGACCGTTGATCAGTTGGCCAATGTTATCTCTCCGCTAGTCATTGGTGGATTGGTTTCACTTATAAAGTAAGAAGTGTTTTTTCAAACTAAGCAAAATCGATTTCAGTCTGCGAACAGTCTTGATCATTTTTGGAGTCTACAGCTGTGGCTCAATCATTTTAAAAGTCATTGTTTTAAACATTTTGCTGACGAAAGAGCCTAGATTGTTAAAAAAGCAGCAGAAAGCGAATTTTGATGGTAAAATTACCCTTTGCATTAAACTGATTAGAGTAAAAGTTTAGAAAAGTCTTTAAAGAAAAGTAAAAACGGCTTTTTCACTGTTATTGGAGTGTTCTGGAGACAAAGAATCTTTTCGGCTGCACTTGGAATGGCTTTACTTTTCATGACTGTTCTCGGATTTGATGGGGTTAGTCAAATTGAAAGGCAATTCGACTTTAAGGCTTTACACTTTACGGAAGTTTACAAAAGCTGTTTAGCAAGAATATCTAGCTGTTTAGCAAGACTTTAACTTTAATATTTATGCAATTCTTTAGCTTGCAATAGGATACGGACAATCTTGACAAATTTCGAAGTCATTTAGTAATGGAAGCAAAGGCACGGCTTTAAAAATAATAAATTAAGTATGACAGACTGTGAACTTCGGAGTAATTACAGATTAACAATTGCAAGTCGCATAGTTGAAAAACAATGAAATACTTTCAAAGTTTACTATACAATTTGATTCCCTGGCAAATTTTCCTAATGAATTGAGTGAAAAGACTTTGTTGTGGGAATTGAAAGCTGAATTAGCTCAACTTTCGCAAAAAGGAGCAATTCTTTAGCTTGCAATAGGATACGGACAATCTGTTGGTCTTCCCGATTCTCTGATCGGTGGATTCAGGTAGAAATTCGTCAATAAAACATTTTAAATAAAAGAAAGCAGCTTTCTGTTGTGGTTCGCAGCTTCTAAACATAATTCAGATCTTTTGGCTCACTTTGTGGAATTCTTGGAGCCATTTTCTATGCTTATTTTGATCAATTGATGGGCGTTCGAAAAACGGGAGTTTTTGGTTTAACGGTAAGTCTAAAGTTGTAAATTGAGAAATTGGAGGTAAACTCTTTAACTGGGTATTGTAAAGCGTTTAAGTAAGTTTAACGGTGAGTCTAAAGTTGTAAAGGTTTAAGTCAAAACAATTTACTTGAAAATGTTGAATATTAAATTCTATATACTATAGAATATTTTTAGTTTCAACAAATTTTCCTCCTTCTGGCCATCTCCTCAATTTTTATGCCTGGATCGCCGACAGATTTGCGGGGATATTTCGACTCATTGACTGCTGATGTAACTTTTTGCATTTCTCATTACACAAATTAAAATCTTCCTTTAATATTTCCAATGTAAGACTCTCAATTTTAGAAATGGTGGTCCGATTTTAAGGACTCTTTCGCTCCAGTGTCAACGATAGCGCCAGTGAACTCGACTGACACTGGTTCGTTTGTGTTTCTAAATCTAATTCTAAAATGAATCGCAAATTTCAGGAATTGATTGGAAAAATTTCAAATCAAATGGTCACAGTATGATGAGCATTTTCGCTTTTCTGATTGGAATTGCCACTGCGAGATTTGGTCTCTGGATGGCTGATCTTGCAATCACTCAAGTGATGCAAGAAGGAGTCGAAGAAGGCGAAAGGAATACGGTAAGTGATCCCTACTAGAGATGGGGAAAATTTTAAGCCGTATCTAATTCCACCTTCGTTTTCTTGGCCGTTTCTTGGTCGATTGCTCTGGAATTTTGCCTACAAGCTTTCAATTCTGTAGACGAAATTTCAAAGTAATCAGCCGAGAAAACAAAGGTGAAATTAGGTTGGGTTTGGAATTTTCCCATGTCTAAACCCTGCTATAAGCTCCAAGGCAGGATTTTGTTCAAAAATCGAGCAAAACCAGTAGCAGACTTGACTTTGTTGCAATCATTTCCAGGTTTTCGGTGTTCACAACGCTTTGTGTCAAACATTTTCCGTGCTTAAAGACGTGATGGTTATTTTATTACCAGAGCCTTCAACTTTCGCCATTTGTATGGTCATATCATACTTATTTGTCTTCTCAGGATTTCTTGCATATATCTACTACTTACTAAAGGTAATATCTATTCTGAATAGTTTAAGAATTTGTGCTTTATTTCACTTCACTTAAAAAGTCTTTAGTTGACAAGATTGAATATATTGTAAAGAAGATCCGATCTGATTTTAGTTCTAGCATATTGTAGTGGCTTAGAATACCATGTTTTTATTGAGCAATGAAAATGTAAATCATTTATTCAGACTCGAAACGATCCTCGCCCGATTAAGGCCTCAATATATGTCGAAGATGAAGATTGCGAAACAGAGAAATTATAACAAAAAACAACAATTCACATACACCGTATTTTCTCTAGTAGTAGTGCACCCTGAGCGTTGCCTAAATTGCTTGAAATCTCGAAAACCGCTTATCAGAACCTATCGTGTGGAGTCGGAAAATGTAGCTGACGATGAGATCTTGTGGGGGATTAGAGCTTCTAAAAAAGCTTTGGAAACCGTAAAATAGTAATCAACTCGGCTTGGCGGGGTACACTACTATTAGAGAGAATACGGTAAATATTCGTATTTTATGAGAGAAAGTGAAATATTTTCAAATGAAAATCACAACTCGTCAATGCGAAACCCAATAACTGAATAGCTGAAAAAGTATCACAGAAAAATCAAAACTGAAATTGAAATGGATAACCGAATTTCTTGAAAACACCCGTAAATCGATCACAACAATGGGGTTTGCACGAATTTTATAGACTAGTTTGAGGAATTTGAGGTAAACTCTTTAACTGGGTATTGTAAAGCCTAGGCTTAATAAAATAGAACAAGTCTACGAGATTAGGCACAGCTAGAGTGGGGTTTTTCGCAAGTAAAGCATTTTTTTAAAGTGGATGGTTTTATTAAACTAAATTAAATTAAATTAGATTAGATTATCGTAATCGAAAGGTTACAGTAGCTTTCTAAATTGTCCACCTTTAAGAAAGTAATTTACTCGCGAGGAATGAACGCTACTGAAAACAAAAAAAAACTGTGTAAACGCAAGCCACCTAGTGCACTGATTATTTAGACTTTTATTTAAACTTTCTAAAATCCGTTTTCTATTGCTGTCAGTTTGAAAGCTACCGTAGTCTTATCCAATCTATCTACTTATTTCGATCTAATTCTCTAAAAGTTCAAAAATGACCTGAAAAAAACGATATGGATTGTTGTAGTTTCAAAAGTTGACATTTTTAGGAAACGAGTAAGTCAAAAGAAACACTTTTTGGTTATGAAAACAAGTACACTAGGTACCGCGCCTTTACACAAAACTTTTGATAAACGACTAGTTTTCGATTGAGTATTTTTTAGAAAGTGACCTTCAAAACCAAGAAATCCATGACCGCGACATCAAGATCGACTTTGTCGATGGTGTCCTCTTTGTCCTTTCCAATCACCTTCACTCCGCTGAGATTCGTCCGAACCACTTTCGTTGCACCCATTCCCTCCAAAAACTCTCGGATTGACCCCTGAATTTTGTTATAAAAAAGTTTTCTATAACGTCACAAAGTCACACTTTAAGAATTAGGAAAAAAACGGTTTAAACACCCAAAGAAAACGATCTGAACAAACGAACCTCAAACTTGTCATGGAGCTAGAGAAAAGGAATGTCAAATGAGTGAAAGGAGATTAATTAAATGGTGTCAAAAACTACCTTGAGTCCATTTGTGATGCAGTGAACCATCGATGCTGAGCCGACATCGATACCAGAGCGATGGATAACGATGAGAATGGCCTCACTTGGGAGGGAAAGACGGCGCATTGAGATCAACTGGTATTCACAGGGAAGCACGAGTTGAGGGATTCCTGAAATGAAATTTTGTAGAGAACCAAGTCAAATCCATCATCTGTCCCATGCCAAGACAATAAATTGGGCTTTGCCGTTTTCCTGAGCACAGCCCAGAAGAAATTTCATTTTTTCTTGATTCTTTGTCAGATTCAAGGAAACAAAACAAAAAACCTCCTTAATCTAGATACAAATCTGCTATAGTTGTTGCAATTTTTTAAAATTTAATGGAAATCTAATCCATTTCCAGTCATTTATTTCCAATTTCCCCTGCAACTAACCAGTCATTGTATCCTTTTGCTCGCCGGCTGCCGCCATGAGAAGCGGTGGATAGAGCATAGTCAACAACGAGAGATGGCCACCCAAAGAGTTGTAACTCAAATGTTCTGACTAAAAACGTATAATCAATAGTTGAAACCGGTTCACAGTCAGCTTTCTTACCCTTTTCTTTTCAGTGACTTGTTCGAAAAGCAGAGTGAACTCCATTTCGACAGGCAATAAATCATCGGGGATTCCATCATCAGCCGATCCGAGTCCCTTTCCATCGTCTTGGTTAAGCATCCGGTCTGAAAATTTACTTTTATTACCTATTATTATATATCATTTGAAAGCTGCGAATCTTCTCTCCAAGATAGGCTGATAAGTTTCCGAGTTTCTCAAAAAGTTTAGACCAATAAAATGAATAGCTCCAATCAATTTTTTTGACTCCAAAAATTTTTCTGGAAACTTTACATCCCGTTGAAACTAATAGTAAGATGGTAAAATTCATTGAACTGATCCGAAAGGGGATTTTCTTTAATCTTTTAATACCTAATCATAATTTTAGATAATTGTGCTTAATTCAGACTTCTCCTTCAAGCTTTGAAACTTTTTAAAATCTAAATCCGCTCACCCAACATGATTTCAACGCTGCCATTTTTCGGGAACATTGCGCCGTGTTCGACGTTGGAAGCGATGGTTAATCTGAACTAGTACAGTAAAGCTTTGTAAACTCTTTTAATACCGCACCTCAACGCCCGATCATCCATCACGACAGCAGTCGGCATTGGATAGTAGTCAGAGCCGACCTCATGACCATGATATGGAGCTCGCTTGATCAACTGGAAATCTTCAAGTGAAAATAGATAAGGCAAAAAGATACCTGTAGTCCGACACTGTCCGTGTAATGCCAAGTTGTGTTTACGTTCAGCGCCGAATCGAATCGAACACCCAACTCAAAATTCTTCCTCTTTGTGATGTCCAAAAGGATTTTCCAATGAATTCGCTCGCCGGCACTGCCTGAATTTGGAGTTTTGGGAAAATCAAATCGATGTTTATCAAGAATAGTATGTGAATCAAGAACTCACCCAGCAAATTATTGATCGTATAGGATTGTTGAATGACATCTTGTTCTCCCAACACGTAAAGCACTTGTCGAATGGGTCCTTTCACGAGGATCACCTTGGCATTGGGAATACTGTGAGTCTAAACAAAGCAAATAAGTATTCAGCCAAATAAATCTAACTTACCGCTCCCGGTTTTGATCCGGAACTCAAAATGTAGGCACCACCGTGAGCGTTTTCGTAACGAACAAACGTTTGGTTAAAGGAGATCGGCTCATTGGTAGCTGTTGGAGAGTAGACTTTCTGAAATCTCAGCCATAAAATGTGATAACCTTTTTTACAGCTTCTGGGGATCACTATGAGTATCTTTTTGGAATTTTACACTCTTTTAGGGCAAATCTTGATTCAGAAACTGGCTGGGGAGTTGGCAACCACTCGTTTCTGGATCAAGACTCGTCCTAAAAGAGCGTAAAATTCCAAAAAGATACGCATAGTGATCCCATTTAATCTTACCCTATGCCTGTTTACTAACCAATCCTCTTTCTAAAATAATTAGACACAAAACTCATGAAGAAAAACCCCAAGAAGATCGCGCCGATTTAATTTGGTAGATTTTGTGCGTTTTAGTTGAAAGATGATTGGTTAAGCTAAGTTTATGCGGCAAGCAAAAAAAGATTCGAAAAAATGGAGTAGAAGGGAGCAGAGAGAAATGAAACAAAACCATTTTAGAATTTTAAACAGAAAACATGAGCGGAACAATCTAACAGGAAAGGAATGTGCGGAGGAAGGTAAACTTAAAACGCTTTACAAAAGGGGGAAGAAAACTTATGTAAGACTCGAGAGATAAACCGGACAACCTTCACGATTCCATCATGGAATTGGAAAATGAAAAGAATGACAAAAGAGGAATTTTTGTGCGGGGTACGGTAGCGCACCCTCTAGAAAGCACGCCGCGCGGCTTTCGCGCCCGTTACTTAAAACCGTACGTCAATAGGAAACTAACTGCGGTTTTGAACCGCTTTTACCCGAGGTAACTCACAATCAGTGGACCAGAAAGTATGCGTTTCCATTTTTGAATCCAAAAACTTACCTTGATCGAACCATCGACATTATGCTCCGTTTTCAATCGATCCGATTCAAGCATAATACCATCAATAAAGCTCAATTTGCTGGCTGTGACAGAAAAGAGGCTAAATATTGAATTGATATCGTTAGATTTATTCAATTCAATAGATTTTCATTTGATTACCTGGGTAAAGCTTTCCACACCACATCATAGACGAGCGGAGAAATGGAAAGTGAGGCTTCGGTCGGGGTGATGTTTTTGTTCTGTCCCTTTCGAGTGATATCATTCTTGGCGAGGAGGGTGAAAAGTGAACGGGACATTGGCAGGAGCATTACTTCAAAAGCAATCTAAAGAACAAAGTGGGTTTTATGAATTCTGTACACTGAATGATTAGAAAAACATTTTTTTAAGGAAATTTCTGCAATAGACTGCTTTAGACTGCTTTAGACTGCTTTAGACTGCTTTAGACTTCCTTAGACTTCCTTAGACTGTCTTAGACTGTCTTAGACTGCCTTAGACTGTTTTAGACTGTCTTAGACTGGTCCAAATTGTGTACAATAAACATTTCAAAAACATTTTTTAAAGAAATTTCTCTACCAACCGTGTACGATTCATTATCCGGATGCCCACTTTGTATGTACGGTTCCACTTGGGATCTCATGACTTTCCCATTTTGCATGATAGCCACATCGGGCTCACTCACGCGCAGAGTCAACACCTCGGCTCGTTGATAGGGTAGCTGATTGAAGACTGATATTGTGCTAAAGAGTTTTCGATATTTCTACTGGAAATAAGTATTACAGCGGCTTTCCAGTGTAGACTTTGAGGACCGCTGTGGAGAGCGTTTGATTGTATTCGGTGGGTTTTTGAATCTGAAAATGGTGTTGTTGGAGTGCTTCTTGAAGTGGACGACTTTATTTCAAAGTTACCAACCACTTGGAAATCGTCTTGCAACTTTTTCAGCAACTCATTGACGGAAGTGAGTGCATTGAAGAGTTGAATCGAGTAGTCTTTCATCACCGATTTCTTGCTGGTACCTGAAATAAAATCCATATTAGACTGTTCAGAAAGTCTTTTCGTTTCTTTTCCAAAAAATTCGGTGAGTTTTTAGATCTGGATTCGTTTTAGGTTTTTTCAAAACCTGTGATAGCATCATGATGTTGGAAGAGTAGAAGAACTCGTCTGGCTTTTGTCATCGTGTTCACATATTCTTTTCTCTCTACTGGTGAGATTGATGACCATTTAAGGACCAAAAAGGAATCGACTGCATGGATTGTTGACTGAAAATATCAGTTATAAAAGTTTAAGAAGAGACTAGTTAGTAAGTTATAAGATAACCTACTTCAAAACTACAACAAATCAGTTCTGAAGTAATCGGTTCTACACTACTGGACAACGAAATATCATATTTGAAAAAAACGATCGTCACTTTCGCGCGTCTGTAACTCCCTTGTCTTTACCGTATTTCTAAATATTAATATTACCATTGTGTAGCCCTTGAAAAGAGCTTTCAGAAAATGTATAACACTAATAGTTTAAACTCAAAGACAAGGGAGTTACAGACGCGCGAAAGTGACGATCGTTTTTCAAATATCATATTTCATTGTCCAGTACTGTATCTGCAGTATATCTGCAGTATATCTGCTATTATAAGGTTAGTTTATTGGCAACCAGATATTTTATCCAACTCACATGCAACAATCGTCCTTGTCTCTTATAAAATGGCCTCGTTGTAAAATAACCAGTCCAGTAAGTGCCCATCGCGCATTGATAAGGGAAAAAGTCGCCAGCGATTTTCGCTGGCGTCTTTTTCTTGTCTTTATACCATTTTTCTTGAGCTGTGAAGTAATCATTAAATGTTCCAAAGCTGAAAAAATTCTTCAGTAAAATCAAAAACTTTCCTTTTACCGAATTTTCACATCATCTCCTTTATTGATTTCATCAAAAAGCGGTTGTAGATTGTCGAATTGTTGATGCCATTCCTAAAATTCCTATTGGATAAAGCTAAAAGCTTATTCTCTAACTTCTCTAACTTCTCTAACTTCTTCTAGTCAATTTAAATTCAGTCAAACCCACACTCATCAACTCAAAACGGAAATCATCGCCGTGCATGACAAGGAGAACGTTCGACTCGTACATGTTCGACATTCGCTTCAGCTCATCAACAAATGTGGATGCTCTGAAAATTAATTCTTTTAAAAGCTTGATCTTGTCAGATTGATCTTGTCAAAACTTATACAAAATCTTACTTTGATCTAACATTCTCTGAAGTAATCGGTACCGGATTTGTCCCACCACAACCCCATTGAGTCATTCGTCGGAAATCAAATTGACAGCAAACTCCCTAAAGTCAAGTTAATCCAGAAGTTATTAAAGGCTTTAAATAAAATTTTCAAACCGAATCAGGACCGCAAGAGTTCGGAATATCGTAATGGGTATAGGGAAGGATTTGGGTGAACATTTCGTCGTTTCCATTCTTGTCTGAATTTTGTTTACTTTATTGGCTGTAGCTGGATTTAGCTGTAGTTTGATGGGAGCGGATCCTGATTATTCTATCATATTCAAAAATGGGGGTAGGCTAGTTTCCGCAACTTTTTTTGCTCAACAGGGTTATTTGCACAACTAGGTCTTTTGCGCAACTCGCCATAACTTTCTTCTAAGTGGACTAATCTTTATGATTTTGGTGTCATTTTGTAGATCTCAAAAAGTGTAACAAAATGACACCAAAATCATAAAGATTAGTCAACTTAGAAGAAAGTTATAGCGAGTTGCGCAAAAGACCTAGTTGTGCAAATAACCATATTGCGCAAAAAAAGTTGGCGCAAAGTAGTCTACCCCCAAAAATGTTTTTACTTATTGCTATTGTAACCAGAAGATTTTGAATTCTTTAAGTCTTGATGAGCTAAAACCAATAAAACTGGAAAACTTTGCATTGAAACTCACCAAAGTATTGTCTCCAATGAAATGGGATTGCTTTTTGTCCTTGTAACCATCGTTTCATCGGGTGATGGATTCGATTGATCACTGTTCTTTTCACACCAGCTTTCACAAAGAGATATGGAACTGAGTGACTGTAGCCGAATGGATCATTTGACCACACTGTTGATGGAACTTTGCCTGGAAACATACCGTAGCATAAACCAGTGTCGAGAAAAACGCGTTCAAAGCTAGACTACGCAACGCTTCGCACCGTCATTATGGGGGTGGGGTATTTATTAGAGTATTTACGGTATATGTATTTTTAAGCACTCATCAAGCACATCAAATCCCTCACCAAATTCCGTATTCAGATATTGATGTCCTTCAACAATATTGTCGACAGAGACTGGGAAATAGGCATTTGCTTCGTCAGTCATTACCCAAGAGCCTGACGCTAGTTCTAGATGACCATCAGATACCAATCTAAAGACAATGGTATTCAATTGTAAAAGATCTCAATTAAATTTAAAGAAGAGGTCAAAATTAGGATCGATTCTCACTAGAGCCAAATTATTCAATTGTAAATTTGTACAAAAATATATTACAATACCTATAAATTTAATTAATAATTTGGTTTCAGTGAAAATCATTCTTAATTCAGATCTCTCTTTTAACTAACTTTTTCACTCCTGTCTTTACTGTATCGTTTTGTTTTGCCCACCATCGCTCAAAGAAGACAAACTCTGCCCAAAGGAATCTCATTGTCTAAACGGATTTTTGAAAATCAAGTATTGCTTTTAGATAATGAATAAGCTAGAAAGTACGCCTACAATGAGAAAGTACGCCTAGAAAGTACGCCTACATACAATTAACACTAACAAAGAGACTCAACAGTGATGAAACAAACCTTATGTTTCTCCTGTGACATGAATTCATAAACATTGTTGAGAATCTTGTCCGTTTCTTCACTATATGAATCGAAAGTTCTGAGCCATCCTAGAAAAGACAATTTTTTTGAATTATTTTTAAGAAATTAACCTGGATCAACATGTGTGAAGGGTAAAAGAAAGACTTCTAGCTTTTCTTTAGTTTGTGGAGGAACAGCACGATTTCCTGTAGCTTGACCACTCTTTTGCATGGTGTTGAAGATGTCATTTGACTGTAATATATAGTTTTTGAAAGAATTGAATGAGTTATTAGGGAAATTTACATGATAATCAGCTGCTTTCATCTCCTCTTCATAGCTCTGATAGATTGCGTGTTTTGCTTCAACCGGCGAATCGATTGTTTCAAGTTTTCCGAGTAAATATGGAGGACCACCGTGTTCATCTGAGATTTCCTGGAATTTTGTCATCAAATTATGCTTAGAACTTGATATTAATTAAGATTAATTCTTAATCTTTACTAAGAAATGAAATCAACTTTGTACCTTTCACAACTATGGACAAACCAGCCGAAAAATGTATTGTTTTGTGGTTTTAAAACAAGCCAAAAAACAGCCGATAGTGCTTTTTTCTAGCTGGATGTTTTCGGAAGATGTCTAGCGCGTTGTCGTCATGGCGCAGTTTGCAGCGCCGTTTTCTACAGCTCACACAACCTGGGTTCGACTCTCTCGTAATGCGATTCACTTTTGATGTTTTAGTTTTTGATTTTAAATGGCATAACTACCGTATTCTCTTTAATAGTAGTGCACTCTCTAATAGTATTGCGGTCCAGGAGGGGGTTGAAAAAATAGTAGTGCGCACTACTATTAGAGAGAATACGGTATATTATATTGTGAGAATTTTTACAAAATTTCAGTTTTTGTTGGCTCAAAGATGGCTGAGAAAAAGACCGGAGAGACACAGACCGGACAGACCGGACAGACATCTCCGTTATGTCCATGTCCGTAATGATCATGTGTCTCTATAGTAGATAAAAGCATGTGGAAGTCTTGTTCACTTAGAAATGCTTTGAGTAAAAAAACCGAAAATCTTATTGTTAGCGTTCTATTCTTCTCGTTAGTATGGGTAATCGTGTTTGTTAACTAAATCTATTGATAAACCAAATAATCTATTACAGTCAGTCTAAAGTTGGCGAAGTGTCATGCTCTTTATGTTAAAGAAGTTGTGTTAGTGAAAACTAACAAGGTCAACAACTGGAGCTGCCGGCTCATGCACTTCATTGTGTTTCTTCTCTCCGACATCATGATCCACATCTTTGTGATCTCTATGTTCATCTTGAGGTTCATGCTTAACATCTCCGTTATGTCCATGTCCGTGATGATTATGTGTCTCTATCCGGAACACCTCAGCAATGTTTCTCTGAATAGTTTCAGTAACCAATGATGTTAATAGACTTGTTTAGAATAGGGTTAACAAAATTATAAAATCAAAATTAAAACAGATGCTTGCAAGTGTTAGTTTAAGCAGTTTTTCAAAGAGTCAAAGCTAAAAAAAACCTGTGATTTCTGATGAAGCATAAGTAGGAGACATAATGAAAGAAAAACGATCACGACTAACAACGATTTTCGTCTCCGAATCACCATTCTGAAACAAATTTCAATTTAAATTAACACCAGAAATCCTAAAAAGCTTTTAAAATCTTTTTCTTACTTCAAAGAAACGGCGGTGTTGATTTTGCCGTTTTCTTGTCGAGATCTCTTTGTCCTGTAGAGGAAATCGTGGTGATCTAGAAGAAGAAGAAAATGGATTAATGAAGAAGTCTCATCAGATTGTAAAATATATAATATTTCAGAAGATGAGTTAACAATGAGAATGGGTTTTTGAATAGATAACAATAAGAAACTATCAGAATGTATCACTCTAGATTTATCAACATCAATATTTTGACTCAAAAAGCTGACTTTAATGAAGCTCAAAGCTTAAAAAGCTAGACAAAACTGGCTTAATGGTGATCTAGAAGAAGAAGAAAATGGATTAATGAAGAAGTCTCATCAGATTGTAAAATATATAATATTGTTAACAATGAGAATGGGTTTTTGAATAGATAACAATAAGAAACTATCAGAATGTATCACTCTAGATTTATCAACATCAATATTTTCACTCAAAAAGCTGACTTAATGAAGCTCAAAGCTCAAAAAGCTAGACAGAACTGGCTTAATGTAAAAAGTTTTCAAGAAATCAAGAGTAAAAGAATGTTTTTGATAGGATAAGGATTGAGTTTTGAAATCCTAAAGCTTGCGATCAGTTCAATAACTAAAATCGATACAAATCGATAACTTTATGGTTCTATAAAAAGCAAACAAAAAAAGAATAGAAATTTTTCAATTCAGCGGATCAATTTCCTTCAAAATCTCATGAAAAAGCTTAGAAATCGTCATATTGGCTTAGCTCATGGCTTTCATTTCTTATCTTTTCTAAAACAAGAGTAAAACAATTTTTTTGATAGGATACGAATTGAGTTTTGAAGTCCTAAAGCTCGTGATCAGTTCAATAACTAAAATCGATACAAATCGATCAATTTATGGTTCTATAAAAGCAAACAAAAAAGAATAGAAATTGTTCAATTCAGCGGATCGATTTTCTTCAAAATCTCATGAAAAAGTTTAGAAATCGTCATATTTCGTGGCTTTCATTTCTTATCTTTTCTTTCTTTGCCCATTTTCGACACACCCCTCTGAATAATATCAAAACGATTGAAAAAGGGAAATCGGAAGAGCGTTTTAGAACACTTATCGACTGGGGCTGAATGGTTGCAGGAATTCTGATAACATTTTCCCTTGTCATTTTCTTTTATGTCCGATTTTATGTCATCTATTAATCTGCTAAATCTATCAAACTAGCTTTTTGAAAAATCAATTAACAATTGTAAATTTTTTGAGGAAAAGTTATTTTAGTAGACATCAATTATAGGCAACAAACTTTTTTTTTGTGCTTTTTTTTGATGAAAGAAAGTTGAATGGCTTCACAATTCGCGGCGGTTTATTGCGGATTTCATTTGGTCACAACAGTCGAAAGAAATACAATTTTTAATTGAATGAAAATGGAAATGAAATGAAAGTGATTGAATAGTTGAAATGGAACGATTATATAATTGTAAATATAGTTAGTTATTAAGTTGTTAATATATTTGTGGTTTTGAGTTCATAAAGTTTTTCAAGTGTAGACTAAAGAGATATGGAACTGAGTGACTGTAGCCGAATGGATCATTTGACCACACTGTTGATGGAACTTTGCCTGGAAACATATGTGAATTTTTAAGCACTCATCAAGCACATCAAGTCCCTCACCAAATTCCGTATTCAGATATTGATGTCCTTCAACGATATTGTCGACAGAGACTGGGATAACAATTGTAAAGTTTTTGAGAAAAAGTTAATTTAGTAGACATTAATTATAGGCAACAAGCTTTTTTTGTGCTTTTTTTTGTGCTTTTTTTGATGAAAGAAAGTTGAATGGCTTCACAATTCGCGGCGGTTTATTGAGGATTTCATTTGGTAACAACAGTCGAAAGAAATACAATTTTTAATTGAATGAAAATGGAAATGAAACTAGTGATTGAATAGTTGAAATGGAACGATTATATAATTGTAAATATAGCCAGTTATCAAGTTGCTAACATATTTGTGGTTTTGAGTTCAAGAAATAAAAGAATATCCGAGGTGAAGTGATGCGGATTGGAAGAGGGAAGGATCTCTTGAGTCTACACTTGAAAAACTTTATGAATAGTTGCAATGGAACGATTATTATGTAATTGTAATAGTTGTTAACATATTTGGGGTTTTGAGTTCATAAAGTTTTTCAAGTGTAGACCAAAGAGACCTTTCCCTCTTCCAATCCGCATCACTTCACCTCGGCTATTGTTTTATTTCTTGAACTCAAAACCACAAATATGTTAGCAACTTGATAACTGGCTATATTTACAATTACATAATAATCGTTCCATTGCAACTATTCATAAAGTTTTTCAAGTGTAGACTAAAGAGACCCTTCCCTCTTCCAATCCGCATCACTTCACCTCGGCTATTGTTTTATTTCTTTGCGAGTTTTTGAGAAAACACTGCTTTTTGCTAGTAGAATCTTTATGAATATGTTTTGTCTTTGTTTTCGATTAAAGATTAAGAACATTATGTGAATTTTGGTAAATTCATTTAGCGTTTAGGAAGCGATTAGTTTTTCTTTGCTTTCTTTAACTGACTGACTGCTATTAGTTTTTCTTTGCTTTCTTTGCTTTCTTTCCATCATATCTATTATAATTTTGAATGTTTTAATGAAAATTCGAAAATTTTGATGCAAGCAAATTCTTCTAGCCAATTCTTATTTTTCAAATTTCCTTTGACAGCTTGACAATAAGAAAATGGAGGTGGGCTTCCATAGCAGCCGAAATTGGAAAAAGGGAAAAAGCTGGAGAACAGTAAATATTCATTTTGTTCAGTAAATAGCCAAGTAAATATTCATTTTGTTTTGTCGGAAGGTGAATAATAATAATAATAAAATAATGAGATATTGGTCAGGTGAAAGATCATTAAAACAAAAGATAAACTAAATCAACAAGACGAGGATTAGATAAAGGAAACTTGATGGAATTCAAAACGGAATATCTTCTCTGTGAAGTTCAAATTGATCATTATAAGATAACCAGGTGAAAATTATAAATTTCATAAAGCTTTGACATAAAAAGACAACTCTTTACTTGTTATAAGCAAAAAAAATTCAAAAGTTATGGCTTAAGTTTTTAGAAAATCGGGAATCAGTGACGTGCCGAGTCATAATTTTTTTGTAAATCGTGTGATTAAAGTTTGGAATGCCCTTCCCGACAAGTTGCGTTTGATCTCCACCGTGTCTGATTTTAAAAGGACTACTTCGTTGCATTTTAAGTGACTTTGTGATCTTTTATCTAGTACATTTTTCGTTTTTTCGTCGTTTTCGCACTTAATTTCTTTCTAAATAAAGTATTTATATATATATTTTATTAGGTTGATGCATAAGTCTTTTTGTTCCTTTTCGTCTGCCGTTTGAAGCCAACAAATGCACGAATTAAACTACGGTTGATTTCATTAGAAAAACCAATTATTTTTCTGCAAAATAACATTAAAACGGGTTTAAAAATATTTAATGCCTGGATTTTCTTGAGAGTATGAAGTCGGGTAGTCAAAAAGGGCTAACTCGATGATGCGGTTTAGACACCTTAGCTAAAGAAAACCTATCTTCGTGTCAATAGATAAAAGATAGAGAAAAAAAACGTTTGATATTTCGCCAAAATTACAGAGAAATTCATTCAGCCAATTTTTCCGTAGAGTTTTTTATAGATTTTTACGAAAAAGGCGTTTTTCACTCTCGAATTTGCTTGAAAGTGAACCGAAATTCATTTAAAAAGATGCAAATTGAACGAAAAAACACTTTTTTTATAGAGCAAACTATAGATTAATTGGTGAATTTGTTACTTTTTAACAGAAGTACGAAAAAAAACGAAAAGACTTATGCATCAACCTATTATATTATATATTAACAATTAATTGTCCATTAACAATTAATTGTCTCTGACTCTGGCCTCTCCTCTGACCACTCTTCTACCACCATATTTCATACCAATCAACCCAATAGTAAAAGCGGATAATAAAAAACTGAATTGATTTACTCTAAAAAAGTTATAGACTTTCTATCCACGTTTCAAATCATTACAAAGTAATTTATGAAGACATAATAGAACGGTATCTCTTTAAAATCCCAGAGAAAGTGTGGGAAATCTTTTGAAATTGTTTGATATAGGAATCGAAATCAAAAAAATTCAATAGAGAATCAGTAAAAATTCAAAAGTGAACTTTTCAATGAGAGATTGAAGTGAAATGAGAGAGTGAATGGTGGGAGAGAGAAATGAAATGGAAATGGAAAAGGTGAAATAAAAGAATAAAAGATTTGAGGGGAAAAGCCGAGGGTCTCCCTTTCCCTCCCGCTCTGCCACGTGTGTGCATTTATAATATTGTGAACATAAAGCAAAATTTTCAAGCTCAATACCTCCGATTTGTCGGTCCCTTTTGCGGGGGATGATTTGTGAGATGAGTGTTTGAAATTGAGAGTTCTCAGAGTTGATTATTGTCATACGTCGACTCCAGATTATTATCAGAGTTGATTATCGTCATACATAGACAGTTATCTATTCAAAGATTGTTTGAGCAATTGTAAATTTATTGAATTAAACCATTTTAGAATTTGTACCGAATTTGAGAATCGACATTGTTGAAATTGAGATTTTCTAAAAAATTCACAAATTTTTGTTTTGTCTACAAGTTTTGTGAAGAGAAAATGTGTGAAAAATGCATTTATTTTCAAATTATCAACACGGGAAAAGTACGTACCGTAAAACACGGGAAAAGTACGTACTGTAATAGTACCGCATCCCCCATAATGACAGTGCGGAGCGTTGCATGGTCTAGCTTTGAATGAGTTTTTCTCGACACTGGTTTATGCTACAATGCGCGCTTAGGTATCAAAAAATAGCCCTGAATTTCAGCTATTTTTTGATACTAAAGACGCGTTTTTTGAAAGTACGGGCGCTTTGAAAAAAATGAAATACTAAAAAGTTTTTGCGACTACGCGACTGTACGAGGGCGGTGAGGTACTCTTACAGTATTTACGGTATGTAGTATATGGGTAGCACAGATAACGTCAAGAAACCACTAGAGCTTCAAGATCAAGGTCATCTACAGATAATTTAAAAGTTTCGAGACTATTGGACTCTCTCAAAACTCTGCGGGGGATCGATTCCAAATTCTGGCAATTCTTATTGGAAAAGAGTTATAAACAAACTAATTGGAGGTGACTGGAATTTCTAAAACGAAAGAACCTCTCCTAGAACTAAATACTAAAAAACATTTGCGACTACGCGACTGTACGAGGGAGAGTATTTACGGTAACAAGTTTTGATCTTAAAATTTGATCTTAAAAATCTTTCTTTTTTTTACAGCTTTCTCTTGTTTGCACTTTTTACGACCCGAGATACGAGGAGAATGACATATGGAGATTGTAAAAGAAGAAAGAGAAAGAGAAGGGAAAAGAGATTACTCAACGGCTTAACTATTAGTAATTATTGATCTAAAGATATTAACAACAAGTCTAGTAAAGAAAATAGTTATAAAAATCTAGGAATAACTGTTATAATGTATGACTGAAAGAATTGATCCGTTCAATTCTTTCAATTCTTCGAATGTTGACTCAAATGCTAGTTGAACTCTTGCAAAAAGTCCTCATTTCTTAATCCAATTTCGTTTTTAAATTGAATTCTCAACAATTCATTTATTAAATCTGTATTTAGTTTTAGAATTAATTTATTAATCTTATATTTTGATCATTAAACTAACTATACTACTGGACAATGAAATATCATATTTGAAAAAACACTTTCGCACTTTCGCACGTCTGTAACTCACTTGTCTTTGAGTTTAAACTATTAGTGTTATACATTTTCTGAAAGCTCTTTTCAAGGGCTACACAATGGTAATATTAATATTTAGAAATACGGTAAAGACAAGGGAGTTACAGACGTGCGAAAGTGACGATCGCTTTTCAAATATGATATTTCATTGTCCAGTAGTGTATTTCAGATTCGCTGTGTGTAAACGGTTGAGTAACGGTTGTAAACGGTAACCTAGCTCAAAACTACATCAAATCAGTTCTGAAGTAATCGGTTCTACACTACTGGACAATGAAATATCATATTTGAAAAACGATCATCACTTTCGCACGTCTGTAACCCCCTTGTCTTTACCGTATTTCTAAATATTAATATTACCATGGTATAGCCCTTGAAAAGAGCTTTCAGAAAATGTATAACACTAATAGTTTAAACTCAAAGACAAGGGAGTTACAGACGCGCGAAAGTGACGATCGTTTTTCAAATCTGATATTTCATTGTCCAGTACTGTAGATCTTGAAAAGAAATTATAGAATATGAGAGAGAACAAAGTTAAAAATATAAACAGATCCGTTTGTTTTTTTTTTGGCTTAATCCAAGTGTAAAAACAATAAAACAAGATAATCAATAAAGCTTTAAATAAATTTATTACGATTATCCAAAAAGTGATCCGATTTAAAACCTAGCTTGTTGGTCAATCGTTGACCACCTTTCATTCACAATGTTTGCACAATGAATAACTTGAATGTGTCTATTATGTCTGTGTGCGAATTGACCAAAATCGATTTTATTTTTCAAAGTTTCAAGTTTACTAAAAATAAAAAAATCTGACGCAAGTGAAAGGCTGAAAATTTAGCTAAAAGTTATTTAAAAAAATGATTTAACAATGCAACTTTAACATTACTCTATTCAACATTAGTCAAAGGTCTCAAAAATTAGATTGTATTCTAGTAAATAGCTTTTAAATGAGTTAAAAAGTTTATTTGAGAGTAGCTGGTAGACGAGTGAACAATAAAAAGTAGAGGAAAAGTCAATAATGGAGAAGAGAAAGAAGGGGAAAAGAGACCAAGTAGCACAGAATCGACTAAACCAAAGTAAGAGGAAGTAAACAGAGCAAAATGGATACCGTATTTTCTCTAATAGTAGTGCACCATAAGCTTTGCCTAAATTCCTCGAAATCTCGAGAACCGCTTATCAGAACCTATCGATGTGGGGTCGGAAAATGTAGCTGACGATGGGATCTAATGGGGATTAGAGTTTAGGGCTTCTGCAAAAGCTTGGAAACGGTCAAATAATCATCAACTACACTACTATTAGAGAGAAAAACTTCCCAGAGAATTTTCTACTCAAGTCAAGCATTTGTTGAAACATTAAAACATTGAAATTTTAACCAGCCAGTACTTTAAACATTGATTATAGGCTTTTCAATAGAGACAACAATAGTTCACAATAAAAATATACCGTATTTTTTCTAATAGTAGTGCACCCTGAGCGTCGCCTAAATTCCTAGAAATCTCGAGAACCTCTTATCAGAATCTATCGATATGGGGTCGGAAAATGTAGCTAACGATGAGATCTAGTGGGGGATTAGAGTTTAGAGCTTCTGCAAAAGCTTGGAAACGTTAAAATAGTCATTAACTCGGCTCACCGGGGTGCACTACTATTAAAGTAAATACGGTATAATTCTAATAGATATTATAAAATCCTAGTTACAAGTATCCTGCCAATAAAACTGAATATCTTTTAGATTCTTTGAACTTCATTTTTCTATCTGAATCGGTATCTGTGGTAGACAGACAGATGGGTTAAACTTTTTATTAACATTGTAAATTTGAAGAAACACAGTTGTTTTAGGTTCTGTGAATGGTCAGAGACAAGCCGGAGAGCTTCGATTGATCAGCTAGCTTGGCTTCTGATTTTGTCGTTTCAGCTTAGTCCAGAAGAATGCTTTTGAAACAACCCTGATTAAGAACAAATGGTCAGACTTAAAGTTAACAATTCATTACAATGCCAAGGTAAAAATCGAATAAAAATAAGAAATAAAACTGGTCGAGTGGGTAACTGCCTGGGCATTGATCCGTCTCCCAGGGCTTCTTATTCCTTCTTTCATTCTATACTGACCAGTGACCCTTGTTGTCTTTCTTCCTTCATTTCCTTTCTCAACTCATTGATGTTTACATTCTCTCGGTCATCTCCACCACTCGTCATTTCTATTGCAAACAAAGCGCCGCCACTGTGACCCCAAATTTGGTAGTCATTTAGTAATGGAAGCAAAGGCACAGCTTTAAAAATAATAAATTAAGTATGAAAGACTGTGAACTTCGGAGTAATTACAGATTAACAATTGCAAGTCGCATAGTTGAAAAACAATGAAATACTTTTAAAGTTTACTATACAATTTGATTCCCTGGCAAATTTTCCTAATGAAGTGAGTGAAAAGACTTTGTTGTGGGAATTGAAAGCTGAATTAGCTCAACTTTCGCAAAAAGGAGCAATTCTTTAGCTTGCAATAGGATACGGACAATCTGTTGGTCTTCCCGATTCTCTGATCGGTGGATTCAGGTAGAAATTCTTCAATAAAACATTTTAAATAAAAGAAAGCAGCTTTCTGTTGTGGTTCGCAGCTTCTAAACATAATTCAGATCTTTTGGCTCACTTTGTGGAATTCTTGGAGCCATTTTCTATGCTTACTTTGATCAACTGATGGGCGTTCGAAAAACGGGAGTGTTTGGTTTAACGGTGAGTCTAAAGTTGTAAAGGTTTAAGTCAAAAAGATTTACTTGAGAATGTTGAATACTAAATTCTATAGACTATAGAATATTTTTAGTTTCAACAAATTTTCCTCCTTCTGGCCATCTCCTCAATTTTTATGCCTGGATCGCCGACAGATTTGCGGGGATATTTCGACTCATTGATTGCTGATGTAACTTTTTCATTTCTCATTACTCAAATTAAAATCCTCCTTTGATACAGTCATGGACAAAAGTCTTTACCCCTACCGAGGTCAGCTTTTAAAACGCAAAATTTTTCAACTTTTTAACAAGTTTTAAAAATTGTTTTCAAAGTATTTTGTAGCATTTTTACTCTAGTTTTTATATCCCATAACCAAAAGAAACAACGAGTTATTTTAGGCAACAAAGAACGACGTTAACAAAAAAAAACCCTCAAAACAGGTGGACAAAAGTCTTTACCCCTCGAACAAAAAGTGAGAAAAAACCGAGTATTTTAATATTTGGTAGGGCCTCCTTTTGATGAAATTATTGCTTGAATCCTTCTCGGCATTGAGTCGACCAAATCCTGTAAAATTTGAGGACCGATCTTTGTCCAGACGTGTCGAATGAAGTACCATAGCTCAATCTTGGTATTGAAGCGTTTTCCCTTCAATTTCTGCTTCAAAAACGCCCACAAATGTTCGATAACGTTCAAATCCGACTGTAGGGAGGAGCAGATACGAGCTGAACTCCATTCGATCGGAACCATCCGGGTAGACGAGCTCTACCACCGTTGGCAAGGCGAACAACTCGTCCCATTAGCAGTTGCGACTTGTGGCATGGAGCGTTGTCCTGGTACAGCAACCATCCTTGTCCAATTTTTGTGGTCGCAAATGGAAGAAGATCGTTCTCCAAAATCACCTTGTATCGTTGAGCGTCCAAAGTTGAATTGAGAAGAACGAGCGGACCTGGTGAACTTCTAGTCATCGCTCCTGAAAAAAAAAAGTCAATAGGCATCAAGATAAAAGTTTCTTACCCCACAACATGATTGATCCGCCACCAAATTTGACTGTCGCACGAAGGTATTTGGTGCTATATCGTTGTCCGACAGGTCTCCGGATCAAATGATTTCCGTCGAGATTGAAAAAGTTGATCTTCGATTCATCGGTGAAGATGACATTGGCCCAGTCGTTGCTTGTCCAACTTTCATACTTCTCGGCAAAGTCGAGTCGAACCTTCCGGTGTTTGGCGACCATCAGGGGCTTCTTGGCAGGTCTTCTAGTCATCAATCCTGCATGAATCAAACGTCTGCTTACTGTCTTTCGATTAATGTCCTTGTTAAATTGATGCTTGATTAATCTGAGTCCATCGGAAGCATTAAGATTTGGATCCTTTTTGTGGGCCAAAATTAGAACCTTGTCTTCTCTTGGTGTTGTGACGGGTGGACGACCTATTTTGAATGCTCGGTGAAGAATTCCAATCGTTTTTTCTTTCTTGCAAAGCTTTTTCACCGTTTCGGGGCTGCGTTTGAATACGCTCGCAACATCCTTTACTTTGTCGCCTCGTTTCCTTGCTTCCATAATCTTTTCTTTGTCGGGAGTGGTCAGATAGGCTCCAGGCATCACTAGAATTAAAAAATAATAAAGCATTGTTATGTGAAAAATAACGAAATAACAGCAAGAAAATAAAAAGTTGAAAAGGGGTAAAGACTTTTGTCCACCTGTTTTGAGGGTTTTTTTTGTTAACGTCGTTCTTTGTTGCCTAAAATAAATCGTTGTTTCTTTTGGTTATGGGATATAAAAACTAGAGTAAAAATGCTACAAAATACTTTAAAAACAATTTTTAAAACTTGTTAAAAAGTTGAAAAATTTTGAGTTTTAAAAGCTGACCTCGGTAGGGGTAAAGACTTTTGTCCATGACTGTATTTCCAATGTAAACTCTCAATTTTAGAAATCATGGTCCGACTTTAAGGACTCTTTCGCTCCAGTGTCAACGATAGCGCCAGAGAACTCGACTGACACTGGTTCGTTTGTGTTTGTCTAATCGTTTTGTCTAAAATTTTATTCTAAAATGTTCTCTTCTCTTTCGCTCCAGTGTCAGCGATAGAAAAGTTTACTATACAATCTGATTCTTTCGCAAATTTTCCTAATGAATTGATTGAAAAGACCTTGTTGTGGGAATTGAAGGCTGAATTAGCTCAACTTTCGCGAAAAGGAGCAAATGGGAAACTTCACATCCGCTCTTGTTTTGTGTCCTTTTCACCCAATCAACTCTCTGGCCTTTCTATGCTAAATTGAATAATGTTACCTTTTAAGTTTAGTAGTCACAGCTGAAAATGAAGCTTTGAAAGGTTTACTGTATTGGAGTCAAAATGGGTTGGGAACAGAAGATGTGGATCTTAAAAAGCAAACTAGATCTGGATCCGGATTATCCAGAAAGAAATGTCGGAATCCGGTTCTTAAAGACTAATTTTCATTAATTGTTTTATATTTTGATTTCATTTAGATTCAAAATTTTTTTTAATTGAGGTAAAGTTAATAAGTTTATAAGATTTTATCATTAAATTGTTAGCATAAATTGATAAAATTAAGTAGAATCAAGTGGTCATTTCATAGAAATGGTTTAACTAAATAAGTTGGCAAAAGGTAAACGACAAATTGACTGCGAGATAGAATACAACGCTTCATTATATTGGCCGATATACTACTGGTGAAAATTTTGACTAAAGATCTGGATTCGATCCGGATATCGGAATTACCGTATTTTCTCTAATAGTAGTGCACCCCGGTGAGCCGAGTTGATGTCTATTTTACGGTTTCCAAGCTTTTGCAGAAGCTCAACACTTAAATCCTTCACTAGATCTCATCGTCAGCTACTTTTTCCGACCCCACATCGATAGGTTCTGATAAGCGGTTCTCGAGATTTCAACCAATTTTAGAGATTTTAGGCGACGCTCAGGGTGCACTACTATTAGAGAAAATACGGTATATAAAAAAGCAGTTTTATTGACAGGAGACTTGTAACTAGGATTTTATAATATCTATTAGAATTATACCGTATTATCTCTAATAGTAGTGCACCCCGGTGAGCCGAGTTGGTGACTATTTTACGGTTTCCAAGCTTTTGCAGAAGCTCAACACTCTAATCCCCCACTAGATCTCATCGTCAGCTACATTTTCCAACCCCACATCGATAGGTTCTGATAAGAGGTTCTCGAGATTTCTAGGAATTTAGGCGACGCTCAGGGTGCACTACTATTAGAGAAAATACGGTATCCAGAAAAAAAGCCTGGATCCGGATTCGGATGATCCTGATCTCTGGTTGGGAACTAGACAAGTTTGCTCTTAATTGTTATTTTTTCAAACTAATTTTGTGATAAACATAAACAACATAAAGGTATTTTACCTAAATTTGGAAAAAAACTGCATCAAGTCAAGTTCCTGAAGCTTACAGAACAATATTTTTGATGAAATTTATTTTCTCTAATCAGAAACAATCAGAAACGACTTCAGAATACACGTAACAAGGTAAATATGCTCGACATTGATAGAAAAATAGAAAAAAAAATACAATTTCAATAAATGAGATCTCGATTATCACAGATGAACGGAATATTTGAAAACTATTTACAAAGCCAGAACAGGAAAATGTTTAGCTTTCATTGCAAACTTTTCGCGAAAGGAGAGCTTGTTTCTCGTCGTGGGTGGCACAGATTGAACGGGCTCTCACCAAACCAAGACTGTGTTTATCTGAATCGTTTTCTCATTACTTTATTCTATTTGAAGATCACAATCATCTTATTCTTAAAAAGAGCTTCTGTTTCAAAAATTTCTCAAACTCACTGCTCTTTCGTCTCTCCGTGAACACACGCACAATGCTTGATGGAAGCTCGGTGGAGTTTCGGGTCGTTGTCGTGCTTCCATTCTGAACATTTTGCATTGTTTAGGTCAAAAGTCTAAACAGGCCTTTGACCCTTTGGTTAAGCCTTTGACCACTAATAAAGCTACAGTTTTGGCATTGGATACGAGAAAACTAACTCTAACTAACTAACTCGACTTTTTGCTTTCACGTAATCGTTTATTATCTGGCTCAGTGATTAGGATTAGTTACCCAATAGCAATCTTTTTTTTACATCTAAGAAGCAGTCAACTTGAAATCCCTTTATTCAAACTTAGCAAAACTTTATAAAATTGACTTTTTATTGTCTAATTGTTATGGCTTTGACTGCAAAACCGCTTTCTGTGACAAAAGTAAGCCAGGAGGTTATCTTGGATTTCTTGGATGTGAAAAAAAGATTGCTATTGGGTAATTAATCCTTTTTTTGCCACTCAGCCAGATAATAAACGATTACGTGGCAGCAGAAAGTCGAGTTTTTTCAGGTGGTTATTTAGGTCAATTGAATGGCCTCAGGAATATCTCAAAATATGAACAGAACAAGCTTTAGCTAGCTACCCAATTGAATAAATCCAACTCACCATCGTAGTGCCAGAGTCTTTTTGTATGAAAGACTCAGTGACCACTTCAGAGTGACCGTTTATTGCCATTCGACTGCATGACGAGTACGTTGTTGATCCTGAAATTGAGCAAATCAAAAAGAAAAACTATCCTAGCTGGGCACAAGTTTGAAATATTAGAGTTGAGCGTTTTTCGAGATTAAAAACCTCTGGATTTTTTTTATTTTTTAGAGGTAATGGAGTAATGGAATTGTTAGAACGGTACTTTTCCAATATCGGGGGAGCGAAATTAAAATCAGGGAAGCAAATTTTGCCCCCACGAAAAATGCATTTTCAGGAGTGTATTTTAACTGCAACGCTTTTTTAAACTTTAACGACGATGCGCTTCTCCGACATTTGTGCGTTTAAGGAATCGATTATTTCGTCACCAAAGGAGTCATCCAGTCGTGGATTTGCAACTGTGACAAATTGATGGAAGTCCGCTCAAAGGGAAAAGACCTATTTCGCTGGGTATTTTAAGTCACTTTTGTGATCTAATATAAAGGTTGTGAGAATAACGGGTAATTCGCGGATTTTATAGTGATAATTTGTATAATATAGGACATATGTAGCGCTGGTAAAATTTGCTCGCCTGATTTTCATTTCGCTGCCCCGATATTGGAAAAGTACCGTTAGAACTTGTAGTCAAAAATGTTAAAAATGATTTGCAATACGTAAAAATGACTTACTATATTAAATTTAGCTTTAAAAAGTTAAGATTCTCAATCTCAAAGGTTCATTAAATATTCTAGATCCAGAACTCTTCACTGAAATCATGCGACAAAGCGGGGGAAAGGATAGAGCGAGCTTTGTGTTGAGCTTCATTTCAGTGATTAATCAAGCCATGCATTCGATTAAAGCAAGGATTTTCAAAGATATGAGTGCCACTCTTTTTGCGAAAATTCTCATTCATGTCAGTGTCAACGATTTACTTTGCATGACCCCTATATTCACTTGGGCTAAACGAGAACAATCGTCTTGGGGAAGCGCCACGTTGAAGCAATTCACTCGTGAAAAAAATCGGCGACACTTGGGTTGTGTTGGCTAAATGGTTTCGGTTTTGGAAAAGATTTGAGGAAAAGAATTTTGTGATTTATTTTTTGACAATAGGAAAAGTTTTTGGGAAAAGGCTTTGTGAACTTTTTTCTTTCTTCCGCCTTGTCATCCCTTTTTCTCTTGGCCGGTTAAGGGACTGGATGGCTCAGTAGTTAGAGCGCTAGCCTGGAAAGCTCGAGATCGAGGGTTCAATCCCCTCTCCGGAGGTCTTTTTCCTTTTTCTAATTCCTTCACTTCTTTATTAAAAAATCAAGTCTTTCGCTAACTAGAACTGACTATTACTCTCAAAATTAGATTTCCATTGATAACTTTATACTTTCAAATACAATATTAAAATTCTATTGAAGAAAAGGACAAAATCCTGTCGGAATTAACTATTACTGGTAGAAGCCAGAGGAATTTTTCAACTCAAACACATTTTGTTTAATCGATGATCAAGCTTAACTCTTCCGAATCTTAATGAAAAGCTATTTAAGTGTAAAACTTGAATTTGAGAGTTTACAATTTAGCGTGGGGGAAAGTGAAGCTTAACAAAAAATTACCAATTTGTGAGTGATTTTTTCCTGAAACATTTTACAAGATGAACTTTTAAAAGGGCGAATTACAAACCACTTTTCGGAGCTCCACAGAAGGCACGCTGTACATGGGATCGATTGAAGAAAATGTAAATCCACGGATTCACACAGGAGTTCAGATTTCCCAGAACGACAACATAGGCCATCACGGATGGATCTAAGAATTGATACATTGAAAAGATTGATTGATAATCGATTTATAAGAATTGATCTAAGAAGTGAAAACGTTATTGTTTCTTTAAAAAGCTAATAAGTTTATTTAGAATCTTTACTATTGGCATTTTACTGTTTCAAATCCTTTCAAAGCAACAGTTTTCAAGTTTCGTTTTCAAATTTTGTCTGTTAAGGTTACCTTACAATCCTGGACTTTATAACAAAAGTATACAATTTAATTGATTGACTTAAAGTCAGTCAGAGAGCCAGTCAATGAATGAAGTACACAGCTGCTATTATCAAGTTCAACCGCAATAGTACAATAGATTAGAGTGTGTTCATCTAGAGTAATGCGTTTTTTTTAGAATGCATTTATTTGAGAAAAGTACCGTAATCAAACCAAATCAAACATTTACTTTTTAATTCGTCCGATTTTGGTATCATTCAATGAGGAATTACAATGCTCATCAGGGAATCTTCCCAAGTTACCCGCGAGTTACAATATGAGGTAGGTGCAAAAAGAAAGGCCTGAAAATGTACGTTCAGAAACCGTTTTCAAAAAGCGCTAATCGGCAAAACGCACAAAGTTACAGCCATTTGAATCTCGAAAAAATGAAGGATTTTCTCGAATTTCTGGCACACTGATTTTTGCCGGCGAAAAGGCTTTCCTTTCGCCCGGCGAAAAGGCTTTTACTGCTATCGGATCCGAACCAAGATCAACCAAGATGCCTGCGCTCGGAACTCTTTGATCTTGGTGCGGATCCGCTAGTAGTAAAAGCCTTTCCGCCGGGCGAAAGGAAAGCCTTTCTTCCGGCCTTTCCGCTTTCCGCCTTCATTTTTTCGAAATTCAAGTAGCTATAACTTTGTGCGTTTTGCCGATTAGCGCTTTTTGAAAACGGTTTCTGAACGTACATTTTCAGGCCTTTCTTTTTGCACCTACCTCATATTGTAACTCGCAGGTAACTTGGGAAGGTTCCCTGGTCAGTCAATGATACCAAAAACGCGCTGATCGAATGTAAACTAACGGTTTGGTACTTTTTAGAAAACGTATTACTCGAGAGGAACACACTCTACAATAGATTATTAGTGTAGAATTTGAAATTTATCCATTATCTTCCTTACTCAATAGATTCGGTGCATTCGCTTGCAGAATGTTCACCATACAAAACGGTGCCCACAAGAAGAAATTGCAGGCAATGATCGTAAGCGTTAAACGAACGGTTTGTATTCGTTTTCGATCGAATTCTAAAAGAAACTTATTTAAGCAAATAATAATTACCGTATTTTCTGTAATAGTAGTGCGCACTACTATTTTTTCAATTCCCCTCCAGCCCCCTATAAATAAAATTATAGTAGATACAGACTAAGCTAAACTAAGAAAGACATAGTTTTAGCCTTTGTTTAGTCAAGTGCTTAAATGTGCGGTGGGTAAGACCCATAAGTACCAAAAGAAAAAGTAGCAATATGTCAATAAGTTAATTACAAGCACAATATGTTAGTCAGTACTATTAGGTTGATGCATAAGTGTTTTTGTTCCTTTTCGTCTGCCGTTTCAAGCCAACAAATGCACGAATTAAACTACGGTTGATTTCATTAGAAAAACCAATTATTTTTCTGCAAAATAACATTAAAACGGGTTTAAAAATATTTAATGCCTGGATTTTCTTGAGAGTATGAAGTCGGGTAGTCAAAAAGGGCTAACTCGATGATGCGGTTTAGACACCTTAGCTAAAGAAAACCTATCTTCGTGTCAATAGATAAAAGATAGAGAAAAAAACGTTTGATATTTCGCCAAAATTTCAGAGAAATTCATTCAGCCAATTTTTCCGTAGAGTTTTTTATAGATTTTTACGAAAAAGGCGTTTTTCACTCTCGAATTTGCTTGAAAGTGAACCGAAATTCATTTAAAAAGATGCAAATTGAACAAAAAAACACTTTTTTTATAGAGCAAACTATAGATTAATTCGTGAATTTGTTACTTTTTAACAGAAGTACGAAAAAAACGAAAAGACTTATGCATCAACCTAATAAATAAATAGTCACAATCTCATAATAGCATCTCATTTAGCTACCAGTATGCTTTTAAAACAAAGGTAGTCAAAGTGAACAACAACAGAGCAAATTTTAGCAGGGTGCACTACTATTTTTTCAACCCCCCTCCTGCCAAAACACTACTATTACAGAAAATACGGTATTAATTTTAAAGAATTCAATTAAAAACCTGATGTTTGTCGCCGAATTCCCGAGGATTTATGTCTCAACTTTTCCACATAGCTTTGCGTTTCGACGCTGAAAATATTTGTAAATTGTTTTAAAGAGATTAATACCGTAAATGCTTTGTATTAGAAGATAAGGTTTATTAGCTTTTCTCAGTCATTTAAAAACCATTTTTTAGTTAAAAGTCTATTTTTCAATCCCAAAAAACAATGAAAAGAAAAATCGACTGATTCAAAAAGTAGATAAGGGATCATATGAATCAAAAATTTAGAATTTGTTTAAAACTATTTTAAATGATTACCCTTTATCCAAAACGTACAAAAAAACGGGGGTGGGACAAATGCGACCTTTTTTTTGCGCACCTGGACATTTGCGCACCTTTTTTTTGCTGGAAAAGGCCTTAGGAAAGGTCGTAAAGCTTCAAAAATGTTTTCATACAAGGGAATCGTATACGTAGATTCCGAATTTCGACAAATCAGACCTCGCTGACACGTCAAATTTGGGCTAAAAGGCAAAAACTACGCAACTTAACGCTTTTCCGCAGTTTTTGCCTTTTAGCCCAAATTTGACGTGTCAGCGAGGTCTGATTTGTCGAAATTCGGAATCTACGCATACGATTCCCTTATATGGAAATATTTTCGAAGCTCTACGGCCTTGCCTAAAGCCTTTTCCAGCAAAAAAAAAGGTGCGCAAAAAAAGGTCGCATTTGTTCCACCCCCAAAAAAACACGTTTAAAAGTAACACAAGAAAATAATTTTACTTTTAAACACATTTAAAAGTAAATTTATTTCCTTACCCCTTTGAATCTTCAAAAAAATCCATTTGAGTAATCTTTATGATTTGTTTTTTAAAAATAATGTTTTAAATTGTACTGCCGATAAAATATTATTAGGTTGTCCAATAAGTAATGCGTGTTTTGACACGATTTTCAAAATATCACAAAATTAACAAAAGAGAACTTTATTAATCGATATATTCTCCACAACAATCAACAACATTTCTCCATCGTCCGAGCAAAGAGTGAAGTCCGTCATAATAGAATGAAGCTGGTTTCGATGAGAAGAAATCGTCGAGCCATTTTTGCACCTCGTCAACACTTTTGACTCGTTTCCGTCCGCAAATCGTTTAAACCAGCGCTGGCACTGGCTGATTGAAATTGAATCCTCTCCAAATGCGGCACAGATAGTTCGATGGCAATCCGCTGCAGTTTTAACTCGTTTGAAATCATACAGCATTGATGCGCGGACAACAAACTTTTTGTCTTTCATCTGCAAAACAACATATCTATTATAAAACAAAGGCAAATGAATAAAATAATATATAAAAATAAACACAAGATGCTGATGATTAAAAAGAGCATATATTTGCTCGAAGCGATTTCGCAATAGTTTCGAAATAAGTAACACGCATTACTTATTGGACAACCTAATAGTAAGTTTTAAGCCTAGATCTATCCATAGAATCCCCAAAACAAGGTCTAAATTCAAGATTTCGAGGGATTTCATTCTAATCCAGCATTTACGGTTATAAACAATCACCAACTTGTCACAAACATTCAGCTTTGTCGTTGTCAAGTCAAGTGTCGGTTTCGAATTGTGCGACATCCAGACAGCTTTACAAACAAAGTAATAAAAGAGGCCAGCCATCGTCGACGGGAGCAACCAGGCGATTGTGTTAAAGACTGAATAAAGCTTTATGTCTTTGTATTTACAATTCTCCTTAATTCCCAAGATCAACGTGTTGTTGTCTATGACTTAAACCCGGCAGTCATTCTCTTTTCTCTCTTTCCCATTCTCTTTTCCAAAATTCTCCATTTGACTTTTCATTAAACCCATTTGGAGTCAAAAAAGGAGTCATTTTAAAAGAAAAAAAAAAGAAGCATTGAGTAAATAAGAATATCGATTTTCTTTAAAAACCAACCAATAACATAAATGCTTTTGAAAATTTGATTATCCCGTCGATAGAAGGTCACACATTGCTCGACTCTAAAGATCAACCTTTAAAAAGTTACTATATTCTTCAAAAATTGGACAAAATCTCATGATTTATATGGTTGTTATAAAATTTGGATTACTTGGGAAAAGTCTCCTCTTTCCTCCAGATGAACGCTTGTGGCAGTGAGCAGAGAAGAGCCAAACCCCAAGCGAACATCGCCAAATAAGTCGGGATTCTGTATCGACTTCGACGGAAATGAGCCAATGGACGACATATTGCCTAAAGGGAATTTAAACAAGGGAATGTTCTTGTTTCTGGAGTGGAGAATTGACTCGAAATCAAGTGCATCTTATAGAATCGACATGCTGATTTCGAATCTCCAAAAACTAGCTGCAAACTCGCACGCAAACTCGAGAAATTTGGCATAGAAACATCGCTCAAGTTTCTCTTTATGGTGCTTCTTACAGACTATTTATGACACGGCCACAAGAGACATTTCAACAGCTTCTCTGGTATAGTGGATAGTGTGTTAGTCTACAGAGCGCAGAGAGCTTTTTTGGCTGGGGTTCGAACCCCCCTGACCGATTTTTTGGTTCTCGGCTTGGGTTCGAATCCTTCCCTGACCGATTTTTTGGTTCTCAGCTTGCGTTCGAACCCCCTGATCGATTTTCTGATTCTCGGCTTGGGTTCGAATGCTTCCCTGGCCGATTTTTTGGTTCTCGGCTTGGGTTCGAATCCTTCTCTGGTCAGTTTTTTGGTTCTCAGCTTGCGTTCAAATCCTCCCTGGACCAAATTCCTTTTTTGACTCATTCTGACGATTTTTGAAGAAATCTGGCATAGAAAATTCACCTAGATTTTGGATTTAAATTTCCTTATGGCCGCATAAAGAGTCTGAGTTGCTTCTCAACTTCCCATTGTAGGCTAGCTTTATGAAATTTCTTACTTGATATCGATCAGCACTGATGGCAACGAGAAGGAATGGACTTGCGTACAAAGGTACCATTTGAGCGTATCGAACAAGCTGAAATTTGAGGTGATTGTAATGAGATTTAGCATGTTTTTTTAACAATTTATGGCACTGAACATCAAATTTTATTGACAAGATAGTTATTTAAAAGAGTTTTCACATTCTTTTACTTTAAAAATTCGTTTAACAATTAATATTATAGTTGATCGTTTAATTATTATGAGTTTATATAAAAATATCTTTTGATAAATATATCTGTTTAAGAATTTTAGTAATTTTAGTAGATAGGTTTAGAAAAATTTGAGTTTTCTTTGATAGACTCAACTTTATAAAGATAAGGTTTAGATTTAAATGTTTGACTGAAGTGGAGAAGTGAAGACAATAGATCTACAATAGCTCTACAATAGCTCTACAATAGATCTACAATAGATCTACAATAGATCTACAATAGCTCTACAATAGACAATAGATTGCCCAAGTGTCATTGATAAGTTTTCAAAATATTACTTACTTTACACAACCATCCAGGCCCGATGAAATGTGGATAGTGAAATAATAAGAGAATCTCGGTGCCCAAACTGCACACAGCAAAGAGAAGATCAGCCGCACATGTGTGTAGTAAAAGAAGCTAAATAAAGTTTACAAATTTCCCTCTATTTCTTAGTTTCTTACGATTTTGTAGTTCTCATTTATCTTTTTATATTTGTTATTTTATGGAACGGATTTATTTCATTCATTTCATTCATTGTCGTCTATTGGTGAAGAAGAATATATATACCGTATTCTCTCTAATAGTAGTGCACTCTTTAATAGTAGTGCACTCTTTAATAGTAGTGCACTCTTTGATAGTAATGCGGTCCAGGAGGGGGTTGAAAAAATAGTAGTGCGCACTACTATTAGAGAGAATACGGTATATGTTATGTCCGATTTAGATTTTCGTCCGATTTAGACTCAATCTAAATCAGACGTCCGATTTAGATTATGAAATCCTTCAGCAAACACACCGAAACCTCGGTCATGCTGGCATTGGATTGATGTGGCAACATCTTAGGATTTACTACGGGATATCAAAGTTCGTTTTTGAAACATTGTACAAAAAATTGCAGTTGTTGCAGTCTAATTTAAGTTGATTATGTATTGTTCAATTTTGTTGTTTTTGCATCTTTTGTTGTTTGTTCTAAAAATAAACTTCTTTACAATTCACAACCGATAAAAAAATTCTGAAAACTTCTGTAAAACATAAACAAACAACTGAGTCTAAATCGGACATAACATATTAGGTTGTCCAGTTATGAATGCGCGCCTGCTCTTGAACAGCGTACCTTAGGGATATACAATTTTATCAAACCCTATTCTCTATATGTTGTTCAAGATTTCTTATTTATTACAACTTTTCGTGTTTTTGACGTTAAACTAATTCATTTTTGATTTAATTTCCGTGTTTAAATGACCGAGACGAAGTTTCGTCTTCGTGCCAGTCTTTGTTATGACTTCAAATTGGGCAAAAATGCCGTTGAATCCCATCGAGATCTCTGCAAAGTATTTGGCGAAGATGCTATTTCGGTCGCCGATGGTTTCAACGATTTCGAGAAGGAAATGAATCTTTGGAAGACGAAGACCACCAACGACGACCTCCTGCGATCGATAATGCACTACTGAAGCAGGCGATAGAAATGGATCCTCGACAAACGACGCATGAACTTGCAGAAATATTTAGAGTAAGCCCTCAAAAAATTTCCAAGCATTTAAATCAATTGGGGAAAACAAGCCGACAAGGGAAATGGGTTCCTCATCTTCTCAGCAATGCCAATAAAGCTACTCGTGTCACTATGGCGGGTATTCTTCTTCGTTTGGCAAAAAATACTCGGTTTTACGATGAAATCCTTACTTGCGATGAAAAATGGATTCAATATGATAATTCTACACGAAAACGGCAAAGGCTAGAACCTGGTGTGGAGCCAATACCAACACCAAAACCCGACTTCCTTGACAAGAAAGTAATGCCTACTGTCTGGTGGAATTCCCAAGGCATTGGGTATTTTGAGCTGCTTAAACCTGGGCAAACAATCACGGGTGAAACGTATGCACAACAATTGGAACGAGTGAACAATGTATTGCTACAAAAAGGCCTTGATCCTTCAAACATAAAGTTCATTCAAGATAACGCCCGTCCACACGTTGCAAAGATTGTTCAGGAAAAACTCGAAGAGTTGGGCTGGGAAACTCTCCCGCATCCGCCATATTCTCCGGATATTTCTCCTTCGGATTACCATTTATTTCGCTCAATGCGAAGCCACTTGGCCGGAAACAAGTTCAAAGAAGTTCAAGAGGTCGAAAAATGGATAGCCGACTTCTTTGCCTCAAAACAAGCCAATTTTTACGCGGAGGGAATTCATTTTTTGCATGGAAGATGGAAACAAATAATGTTAACAAATGGTGAATATATTGTTGATTGAGCTGTTAAACTGTTGGTTTTAAAATAAAGAGTTGTTATCTTAAAAACGCGCATTTATAACTGGACAACCTAATATATATATATTCTTCTACACCAATAGACGACAAAGTATCTATACATATATTTATATATAGATACTTTATTTAGAACCTGAAATAAAGTGCTCTAGATTTAAGATTAATACACATGAATTCATACACATAACACGAAAAGGGCCGATAAAAAGCAACACGCTATACAATGTAATATATGTAGTATATGGGTAGCACAGGTAACGTCAAGAATCCACTACAGCTTCAAGATCAAGATCATCTACAGATAATTGAAAGGTTTCGAGACTATTGGACTCTCTCAAAACTCTGGGGAGTCGATTCCAAGGTCCCAGGTCCAAATTCTGGCAGTTCTTATTGGAAAAGAGTTATAAACAAAATTATTGGAGGTGACTGGAATTTCTAAAACGAAAGAGCTTCTCCTTGAATTAACCGTGGGATTAACTTTGAATAAATCTCGAAAAAGAGGGATAGGTTGCCTGTCCTTTACAATTTTCAAACACTCTATTAAAACCGTGACCAAGCGGCGGTGTCTAAGAGATTTAAGATCAAAAATTTTGAGTCTATCTGTGTATACAAGAAAAGTTTATTTGAAAAGTTCGAAATCTTAGTAAAAAGTACACTTTAACTTAAGTATTTGAGCAAATTGAATTTGAGTGAAAATAAAGTACATAAAAGGTTTTGTCTACTTTATACCTAACACATTAAACTGTACTTTGAATCGAAAGAGGCTCAGTTTAACACTTTTCAACTCTAGAACTTTATTTTCACAAGCAAGCAATGCCTTGTCTAATAAATTGATCTTTCCTTAACGTTTTCACAAACCTGAACCGGTGAAACCCTTCTCCGGATGGCTTTATTCCCACGCCAGATGACGAAAATCATGAAAAGATTTCCGGCAATGGCCAAACTCATCGTGATTGTCATATGCACCACAATGAAAAAAACCTAAAATACTTGATCTTAAGATATGAATGGATTAACGAGATTCCCACTGTCCCTATCTACTATCTAGCGAAGCCACAGCCAAAGAAATGGGCTTGGCAAAAACAATTCTATAGTTTGCTCCTAAGTTTGCTCTTAAATAAGGCTTAAGAAAAAAAAATATCTCTACTTGTGGATGCATTTTGTGTTTGAGTTCGCTTCAAGTGGCGCGTCGAAGCCAATCTAGATCGAGATTAAGAACAATATTTAAAAATTGAAAGAAAAAGAGAAGTATAAGATAGGTAAGACACAATAGGCGGAATAGAAAATATATTTGTGCAATAGAATGAGCTGCAATAGAATGAGCTATACTTGCCCTTTCAGCCATTCTTTGTGCTTTGACACCGTATTTCTGACGCACTCAACTACCACATTTCTTCGAATAGAAGACCGGGTAAAGAGTATCATCGCGTACTCCTGCGTAGCAGCCCTTTTTAAAATTTCTTTTCTGCATAGAAGCTTTCAATCAAATGCTATAGAGCTGAAAAATGTCTCAAAAATCTGTTAGCTCATGTGGTATTTTTGAGCCATTTTTCAGCTCTATAGCATTTGATTGAAAGCTTCTATGTAGAAAAGAAATTTTAAAAAGGGCTGCTACGCAGGAGTACGCGATGATACTCTCTTTACCCGGTCTTCTATTCGAAGAAATACGGTATTCAGCTTTTCAGTGCATCAGAAAGAGTCTTTATGCTCATTTTGAGCATAAAGACTTAAGAAAAAAAGTATATAAAAAGAAAATTTCAAACAAGAGTTCGGTTAAACTTTAAAAAAAGTATCTAAGCTTCAACTTTTTTTACTTCTGCAAGTAGAATATGGGAGTCGAGTTTGAAAAGATGAAAAAAGAAAGGGTAAAGGGTTTGGAGGGAGTGGTCATGAAAAGGAGAAACTGATCTAAAGAGGACTTGGTCTAAAGAAGGTAAAAAAAGAAGAGACATAACTCATCTCTCCAGTCATTAGTCCCTCCAGAACTCCCACCACCAAACAAGGAACCCCAAAAATGAACTTGGGCAAATCGATTGCATTTACACGTGAATAGGGTTTAAATATAAACAAATTCCGTACTTATCGCTTTTAATATTTAAGGTAGACAAAGAAAATTGATTATTTAATTAAGTATGATCGGTTTTAAGAGCTTTACAGAGCTTTAACCAATCTGGAAACAATGTTTTGAATGACTAGGCTATTAGGTAGACAAAGAAAATTGATCATTTAATTAAGTATGATCGGTTTTAAGAGCTTTACAGAGCTTTAACCAATGTTTTGGTTGGTTAAAACCAAAAACCAACCAAACAATGTTTTGAATGACTAGGCTATTGAATTGTTTGAATCAAAATTAAATCAAAATTAAATCAAAGCTAAACCAAAACTAAATCTAAATTAAATCTAAATTAAATCTAAATTAAATCAAAATCCAACTTTTTAAACCGATAAAGCTTCTAGAATAGAATTTTCGGAACAATTTCACATGAGGAAATTAAGGAGATTTCCGGTTGAACGATTGAATTTATGAAAATAAAGTAGTTTACTACATTAGCTCTGTTTTTTTGTGTCTGTTTTACTAAATCACCTTTAAGTATCAATGTTAAATCTCAATTGTTGACGAGTAAGCGGCTTATTTTAGATTCAGTGAGGAGAGGAAATCAATTAGAGAATGAAGAGCTTTTCGAGAACTGACCATCGAATGGAAATAAAGTCTTCACCAGGAAAAACAAAAAAATAGAGAATTTAGCCTTAGCTTTAGAAAATGAAAACTTTGGTTACAAAAAGAAAAGAAGAAAATGAAGAAGAGTAGGGTTTTCAATATAATGTGTAAGAGCAAGATTGTTTTTCCTGGTGAAGACTTTATTTCCATTCGATGGTCAGTTCTCGAAAAGCTCTTCATTCTCTAATTTTCTGTAATAAGCCAAGCCAAAACCAAACGGATTTACAATTTAGCTTTGCTTGGCCTAACTGGAATTCGGTAAAACGATCAATTTGATTCAAATTTGGAATGCAATTTAACCTAAGAGTTTACTAGAAGTACGAAAATTTATATAAACCAAAAGGTTTTATTATTAATGTGAAGGAAAAAGCGATATGCCTAAATTGTATTACAAGAAACTTTTTCCTTTGACAACAATAAGTCAGTAAAGTGTGAGAATGTCCTGCTTGAACTGTTAATAAGCTGGGAAAAAACCTGAATCATTTTCATGGAAACGGCAAGATTTTCTTTTCATAAAAAGTTTCAAATTCAAATTCTATAAATTGAAAATAGTTGCTATATTCTTGAGTTTTTTTTTTGAAGTCGCAATCCCCGGAGACCCAATTAGAGTTCGTTAGAAAGCTTCTCTTTTTCATCCATTGTCCTTTGTACTGTTGCCAAAGTTGGCAACTATCTTGAAAAGAAAATAAAGGATAAGAATTGGGAAAATGAAAATCTTTCTGCAAGTAGTAAGCTGCTAAAAGCTGCTGCTATAGTAAGCTAAAAGCTGCTGCTATGAAGAGTTAAAATACTCTAGTTACCGATAAGTCTACAAATTTTATATTTTTAAAGAATGAACCTTGGAAAGTAAGTTATCAACATTAATCTGTAAGGGGAAAAAGAAACGAAAAGACTTTTCAGAGAAACTGATACTTTGACTTTGACTTTGACAACTTTGACTTGCTTGGAGCTCTTTTTAATCTACAATCCAATAGGTGATTAAAGCTAAAATCAAGTGAAACTTAAAGCTCAGAGAAAAAGGAGGAACTGAAAGCTTTAGAAAGAACTATTGAAAGCTTTAGAACGAACTATTGAAAGCTAAAGAACTATGGAAAGCTTTAGAACGAACTATTGAAAGCTTTAGAAAGAACTATTGAAAGCTTTAGAAAGAACTATTGAAAGCTTTAGAAAGAACTATTGAAAGCTTTAGAAGAAACTATTGAAAGCTTTAGAAAGAACTATGGAAAGCTTTAGAACGAACTATTGAAAGCTTTAGAACGAACTATTGAAAGCTTTAGAAAGAACTATGGAAAGCTTTAGAAGAAACTATTGAAAGCTTTAGAAAGAACTATGGAAAGCTTTAAAACGAACTATTGAAAGCTTTAGAAGAAACTATGGAAAGCTTTAGAACGAACTATTGAAAGCTTTAAAATCTTCCAACCAACAATTAATTCAAAAGAAGACATCCTTTCTTACAAGAAAACCCATTAAACTACGCAAGTAAGAGAGGGAAATGGAGTGAAAATGTTTAGAAAAAAAAAACGGCAAAAATTGTGTCATTTTAATTAGCCTTCAGAAAAAAAGAGATGAGCTGGGAAAAGAAAAGAAGAGGTTCAAGTGAACGAAGCTTACCTACAGCTTTTCCTTTTCTTTTCTTCTCCTCCCACCCTCATCAAGAAAAAAAAAAGCTTTTGCGTAGTTTCTTTAACGAAAAAAGCCCCAGGTGATCAAGTAGCCGGTGTCCGATTACAAGGAATTTTTTCAGGAATTTCAGTGAATCAGTAGGTTTAGAGGAAGTTCTGTAATCGAGAAATAAACATCATTGGATTATTCAAAGGGAATTGGCTAAAGTTTAGAAATTAGAAGTTAATTAGATGATAGGCCAAGGTGAGATCAGGTCCTGGGTTTGGTTTAGCTTTGTTGGAAGTCTGGTCTGGCTTTTACTAAAGGCTTTTGAAAATAAAAGGCTATTGGACCAAGATTTGATTCTAGGTTTTTGACCAACTCTGGTCTTGTAAGCCAGTCACGTTTGAAAGGACAAGTCCTAGAGACAGTTGGATTACTGTTAGTTAAGGCACTCAATTCCCCTACTAGTTTGTAAAACCTAGCAATGAAAAGTTTAGAGGAAGTTCTGTAATCGAGAAATAAACATCATTGGATTATTCAAAGGGAATTGGTTAAAGTTTAAAAATTAGAAGTTAATTAGATCATAGGCCAAGGTGAGATCAGGTTCTGGCTTTGTGATAAAAGCTGGCTGGATCGGCTAAAGATAAGTAATGCAAAATGAATGCTTTCTTTGCAAGATCTCGCATCAATCGTTTGTTACTGTATTATATTAGCTTTAACTTTTAGCTTTGTTGGAAGTCTGGTCTGGCTTTACTAAAGGCTTTTGACAATAAAAGGCTATTGGACCAAGACTTGGTTCTAGGTTTTTGACAAACTCTGGTCTTGTAAGCCAGCCAGCAAGCAAACTTGTAAGCCAGTCACGCTTGAAAGGACAAGTCCTAGAGACATTTGGATTACTGATAGTTAAGGCACTCAATTCCCCTACTCGTTTGTAAAACCTATCACTGAAAATTTAAAGTTTAAAACGAAAGACTATAGTTCAAGTATTGAGCCACAATAACACATGACCTCTAGTATCTATTTATTCTCTAGTATCTATCTCTAATATCTGAGTATCTATTTATTCTTAAATGTCAATAAACTGTGCAAGTTTTCGAACAATATTTACCAAAAAGATCCACGATTTCAAATGAATCTATTTACTCAGGCTTATAGATTTCAAATAATCTTTCTAAAAAACTTTGTTAGAAAATATTTTGCCCAATCTAAGCCAACCCAACCCAATCTTTAAATCATTTTTCAGAAAGAGATTTCAGTCGATTCAGTTTAAAAGAGAAAAAGCAATAAATTCTCTCAAGTTTGTCATCATTTTCAGCTATGGGTAAATAAATTTCGCTCTCGTTCGACATAAAAAGAAATAATTAAAAAAAGGTGAGCTGAGTGGGCTGAATATCTTGAAATTAATCGGGTAAGGATAAAATGGGAAAAGAGATTGAATAAAGCTTTGCAAAAAAAAGCGTTGAAAGTCGGTTATTTATACATAGAGAACGATACTCGCAATTAGAAAAAAGAATAATCTAAAATTACTACCCAAAGTGACTGGTCTAGTATAAGATGTGACAAAATGAACACGAGCAATCGATTCCTTGACCCCGAAAATCCTTGGGTACAAATTTTTAGCCTTAAATCTCATCTGAGCGCAAGTTTCAGAGCAAAAGATTCACTGTGTAAAGGGCTGCGAGATGTTCTTTGAGTGGCCACCTAATCGCTCAATGTCTGGCCAACTGCCTCCCCTGATAGTGAGATCCAGAAAATGCTGGATCTAAAAAGAACCGTATTGGAACCGCATTGGATCTAAAAAGAACCGTATTGGAACCGCATTGGATCTAAAAAGA